CAAGGAGGCCGGCACGGTCCGGCTGAAGGCCCCCGACTTTGTTCAGCGTGTGCCGCCTGACGAGAGGTGAGTTCCTGCTTCAACGCTGTCAGTCATGCTTTCTCTTGTGTGACAGTGAGCTAGCTAACAGTGGCTGTCAACTTCTACCGGTATTCTCTTAATGTTGTTTTATAAGCCTTGTGATCAGGAAGAGCCGCGGACGCTGCTTCTTATCCAGTTGCGAAGGAAATTAATGATAACCAGTTTAGAGACGTAAAGCAGCGACCGGTGGGACTGAAGAACGCAGCAGCAATCCCATCCTATGAACACCTACTCTAGACTCTACCTCAACGTTCCTGAAACTTTTCGGTACAGGACACCATACATTTTAACGTGTTGGGTTCGGTTTGTGCATCCATCTTGCATTCATGCGTCACTGTCTTCGTTGGACTATGTTTCTTTGTAGCTTGTGCATGCTGTTCTCTTCCTTACAACTCCGGATGGGGCTAGCCTTTGGTTTTTCAGTAATATTAAGAAACGTTCACATATCAAAGGCTCCAATTGTTTGCTTTAAAATGCCACATGTTTGTACGTATCCTCACCTTTGTGGGAGGTATCAGGTGCATTCGTTGCTCCGGGAGAAGACAAGGCAACATCCGGTTGTGTCATTCTGCTCAGCTGTCTCTAAAAGGTACAGTGTGCAGCATATGTCAGAGTCTAGTGATAAGATGCCATGATATGGTCGATAACACAACCTTTTGTACCCACCAATTATGTATAAGCAGGTACAAAAGATAATAGATTTTAATAGAGCTCCTGAAGAGCAGAGTACAGCATAGTGACTACGGACTACTGAGCTGTGAGATACCTTGGGTCTGGTAAAGTTCTACTTTACTTTATAGAACTGTCTAAAAGACTAAAACGTGGACAAACGTGGATCTTTCTTATCTTCTTGTTAATTCAGTGTTGACTTTCTCATGGCCTGACGTTCAGCCCCTGATCTCATTTCAATCCTGTACACCTGCAGAAAAAAGTGCCAGCTCCCCAGTTACAGCACATGGTTCTGGTTCCTTTCATTTGACTGAGCAAAGTTTTTGTTCCTTTTACGCAAATCCAACTTTCTCATAATTTTAGCAGTTGTTAGTTGTAGCAAATAATAGACATCACTCTTTTTCATTCATCAAGTTTCTGTTGTCTAACGACTACAAACTTACCAACCTCTTCATTCTCAAACCATTGTCTGAGCTCCTTCCCGGATAAACATGGTCTCTGACTATCGTCAGTAGAGAAGTTCACCTCCACTCTTAAAGATTGAAGATTGAAGATTATTTTATTCAAATTCTCACAACTACTTCATGACTTTACAACACGTTTTCTTATTCTTCCTTTCCTTTTGTTTTTCAACTAATTTAAAATTGTGCATCGAAGTGTTGTTGTGAGAAATAATTTATAAAATATTTAAACAAAACATCAAGCAAAAAACACAGCTGCTCAGGGCTTATAATATGTTGCTCGTATTATTGCTTTTAATATATTACTGGTTTTAATTTAGAAAACAAAATCAAGATGAAGTTGGTACTCCGGTAGAGAGATGAACAGATAAGTGATTTGATTTCCTGTTAAATTAAATTGTATTTTTTCTTTGTTCTTCCAGGTCATCATGGGGATGAGGAAGCTGCCGCTCTTTGCTCTCTTCTGCCTTGTCGTGGCAATGCTGCCTTTTCAAACAGGTATGAAGCCATTACATTCTTCTCACATTCTTTTAACTGGATGCTTGTGATGACAAATATGTAAATGGTGTAATCATGTCTTTATGTTAAAATTTCTGTGTTACCGAGCTTCATGTCAAGTCTGTGTTTTGTATTTTGTATTTGAAGTGTCTGTAGCTGTCATGTCAGTTGACCTGGGCAGTGAGTGGATGAAAATGGCAATAGTAAAACCAGGTGTGCCAATGGAGATTGTTCTAAACAAGTGAGTAACTGATCGTGCAGCCTTGTACATACTTGCCTGGATTCGGGATTTTAGAAAATATTAAGGAATAGAGCTACAATATATGAGCAAACACAAAATGAAATTTTTTCTTATTTGTCTTAAGGGAGTCACGAAGGAAAACCCCTTTGGCTGTGTGTTTGAAGGAAACTGAGAGACTTTTTGGAGACAATGCACTTGGAGTGGTATGAACTTTTCTTCACTATACAAAGTAGAACATTACGGATGTAGGTGAAACTTGAATATGAAATATTTAAGTAACGTGAGGTACATCAGTAAACTTAAATATACAACTAAATCACTGATGGCCATCTCACACAAGCTGTTTATTTACCAATGATGTCTTCTATATTTCAGTCCGTGAAGAACCCCAAAACTGTTTATAGGCATCTTCAAAGCCTGCTGGGTAAAAAACATGAGAACCTCCACGTGTCTCTCTACCAGAAACGCTTCCCGGAGCACCAGCTGCAGAGGGACTCAGTCAGAGGAACTACGTATTTTAAAAACTCAGAGTAAGTCTGGATGTTTTCACAGTTTTATTTATTATCTCACTACAAATATATGCATTCCGGACATTATTTGTTTTACTTTGCAATACCATGTATGGATACCATGTTAATCCTAACAGAAAGAAAAAAAAGTTCATCATCAGTGATTTTTATTGCATTTTATCTCATTTCAGGGAGTTGCAGTACACACCACAGGAGCTCCTTGGGATGGTCCTCAATTATTCTCGTGGTCTGGCTCAGGACTTTGCAGGTTGGTTTGGCTCAAAGAAGAATGCATTATGTTGTGATTCTGTTAGTATAAACATGTGAAATAAAAGCTAAAACCTCTCCTTCTTTCTAATCTCTCAGAGCAACCAATCAAAGACGCAGTGATCACAGTCCCAGCCTATTTCAACCAGGCAGAACGCAGAGCAGTCCTGCAGGCTGCACAGATGGCCGACCTGAAGGTCCTGCAGCTCATCAATGACAACACAGCTGTGGCCCTGAACTACGGGGTCTTCAGGAGAAAAGATATCAATAACACAGCTAAGGTGCTTGATCAGCATCTCTCTTACAACAGCATGCTCTTAAGAACAAGTCTGTTGACATTATAGTGTTGTCCTGCTCTGTGTAGTGTACAAGTAGTTGCATTAATCAGAGTAATGCACGGTCTGTGTATGCGACTGTGAGTCTCATGTCTTAACTGGTTTCTTTCAGAATGTGATGTTTTATGACATGGGCTCAGGCAGCACCACAGCCACCATTGTCACTTATCAGACAGTCAAAACCAAGGATTCTGGCACCCAACCCCAGTTACAGATCCGTGGTGTTGGGTAAGTTTGCTAATCATTAAAATTGTATTACATCTCGGGCTGACTCCACACTAATTGTTTCAAAAGCATTGGTTCTGAGACCTTTATTATTCCCCCCACACTACTCTGTAGTTTCCATAGCCTAGTGAAGGGGTCACCAACCTTTTTGAAACTGAGAGCTACTTCAAGGATACTTAGTAATACCAAGAGCTACTTGTTTGATACAGACTTCCCGAACCATGTAATAATAATTGCTCCATCAATTTATGGCACATACAATAGCAGACACTCTTCTTACCATCGTCATTGCACCCATTTGAATATCATTGAATATAGACCCCTGGCCTGGTGTAATAATTGTGTGCTTATTCTACCAATTCAAAATCAATTTGTTTGTATTTTCTGTACTACTGTATTTGCTTTGTGTTTATTTATTGACTAGCCTTGTTTTTGTTACTCACAGATGGGGGGTTTATGTATTTGTTCCCTGTAAGTCTTAAAAAGCCTGATTAGCCTCCACAAAACGAACACGTCTCTTATTTATTTTATTTTTTGTGGCTTTAGCTTTGATCGTGGACTTGGGGGATTTGAGATGGACCTGCGTCTCCGGGACCATCTGGCCAACCTCTTTAATGCTCAGAAGAAGAGCAAAAAAGATGTGAGGGAGAACCACAGAGCCATGGCTAAACTCCTCAAAGAAGCCCAAAGACTCAAGACGGTACTCAGTGCAAATGTGGACTTCATGGCCCAGGTAAGTGCACTATCTATAATCTAAACACTCAGCTTTTGCTCACTTTAAGGTGCAGTTGCACAACTCTGAGATATACCTGGGCATATTACACCTTTGATTAATGATGCATTACACAATGAGTGCCAGTAAATTATTAAAAAAATAAGTTTCTACAGAATCTACTGTCAGACATGTAAGAGACATCAGATGTTTCTGAACATGTATTCAAATCAGTGGTTCCTAAACTTTTTCTGCGGGGACCCCTGTACATAGGACTCTTGTTGACTTACCCTTACCCTCACATCCTCCAGGCTATTGTTTTTGTAAAATTAATATTTTCACCAAATAAGGGTAACAAAAACACTGTTATTGGTCTGATTTAAAATACCAGCAACATTCTCAAGGCTCAGTACCAAAGCTGTGTAATTTCAATCTCCAGGTGGAAGGTTTGATGGATGACATTGACTTCAAATCCAAGGTGACCAGGTCTGAGTTTGAGGAGCTGTGTGCTGATCTCTTTCAAAGAGTTCCTCGGCCTGTGGAGGACGCGCTCGCTGTGGCAGAGATGAACTTGGTCAGTTGCACTTTTTTCCCTTTAAGTTTGAACTAGTGTATGTTGTTCTAGTTAAATGGAAAATGTAAATCCTAAATGTTGTATTGCTGTAAACTATAAACTACAATCGTTGTCAACAGGATGAAATAGAGCAGGTGATTTTGGTTGGCGGCGCCACTCGTGTCCCCAAAGTTCAGGAAGTGCTTCTCAAAGCTGTGGGCAAGTAAGTGTCAACCACACACGCTTCTCCAGATTAAGAATACTTAATGTTTTTTTCTCGTACTCATATTAATAGTTATTCACTCATTATCCATAAATGGTTATTGGAATTTATTTTAGTTTGGTTTGTGTTAACTCCAGTTTGATTGTACGTCTTCTTTCCTCACAGAGAGGAGCTGGCAAAGAACATCAACGCTGACGAGGCAGCAGCCATGGGCGCCGTCTACCAGGCTGCTGCTCTCAGCAAGGCTTTCAAAGTCAAACCCTTTCTGGTCAGAGATGCAGCTGTTTTCCCTATTCAGGTCGGTGCATGTCATTAACTGATTTCAGATGATACCAATAACCGCTACGCAAAGATAAATGACTAGAAAAGCTTTAACAGGAAATCCATCTTCTTCCTGTGGTACTGTGTGTCTGCCCTGCATTCCTTTTGTGTGTTCAATGATGTGTATTTCCAGTGGTTTATCATATGCTTAGAGGTTCATTTGCAAATCAAATTTGGGCCAAGTTACCATTAAAGCACTAGATGAAATAATGTCAACAAGCTGAACCTACAGTCAACTTCAGTTTCTATTTTTTTTTCTACCTGCTCGATTAAATGTCAATTTAGGCATTTTTATAGCTCTTTTGTGCTTTTTTGGCAGTTATTTGTTTTAATTATTTAAATAATGTGTCTTTAAAATGTTTACATTATGATAAATATATGTATTTTAATTCCATAAGGTGGAGTTTAATCGCGAGATGGAGGAAGATGGCGTCAAAAGCCTGAAACACAACAAACGTATCCTCTTCCAGAGGATGGCGCCCTACCCACAGCGCAAAGTCATCACATTCAACCGCTACACTGACGACTTTACTTTCAACATCAACTACGGAGACCTCAGCTTCCTGAGTCAGGAAGACCTCAGGTGTGAAAACTGCTCATTTTGGTTGAGGAGACAGTTTTTGTGATGGTGCTTTAACAACCCATAATAAAAACCTGTTAAAATGATGTGATTTAATAACTAATTTCGGTAATGTCTCTTTTGACTGGTTTTCATTGTGATGTCGACTTAACCAACATGTTCTTTTGAATGCCTGATGTTCTCTCCTGACTATGGTGGTGGTGTTGTTGTTGCAGCGTGTTTGGCTCTTTGAACCTGACCACAGTCAAACTGTCTGGTGTGGGCAGCAGTTTCCTGAAACACACAGATGCTGAGTCAAAGGGCATCAAAGCCCATTTCAACATGGATGAAAGTGGAGTGCTTCTGCTGGACCGGGTTCGTTTCATTTAGTTTCAGATCCCAAATGCCTGTTTTTCATTTGGTTTGTCCTGTGCATATAACGCCAAAAATATCCAAAAAAGTGTCTTCTGCAGGAGAAACCTGAAAATAATACATTTTTTATATATATATATATGTATATATATATATAATAATTTAAAAATACTTTCACCGTATTCACACTTAATAGTTAATTAATTATTTATTCACAGGTGGAGTCTGTGTTCGAAACAATTGTGGAGGAGAAGGAAGAGGAATCAACATTAACAAGTATGTTCAGATATAGTGCATTTGCAATTTTTATTCTGTTAATGATTCAACTATCTGTCCATTTTCTGTGTCATTTTGCATATCTATGATGAATCTACTAATATTTTTCTGTCCACCTGTTCTAGAACTTGGAAACACCATTTCCACCTTGTTCGGAGGAGGATCATCAGAACCAGATCCCAATGTAACGGAGCCTGTACAGGTAAAAGCAGCATGGTCCATTTTAACAACTATATACAATTTCTGAATTATTTCTTGATGTTGTTTCCACAATGGACTGAAAATGCTGATGTTGAATTTTTCTTTTACATCCAGGATGAGGAGGAAGTGCCTCTAGAGTCAGGGAAAGATGACAAGGATGAGGCCCCGAAAGAAGAGGCTGCCAAAGAGAAACAGGATGAGTCGGAAGATGGTGAAAAGACTGAAGAGAAAGGCCAGGAACAGACAGAAGAGGCAGGCTCTAAGACCGACACTAAAGTAAGATCTGACACATCTCTCGAGAAACTTTTTCAGCAAACGCAAACAAATGTGATACAGAAAGTCAACATAATTTTTCATTATTAAGGAGGACAAGGATGCAGAGAAAAGTGAAAGCACTGATGCAGAGAAGGACACAGAGAAGGCAAAACCACAGAAAAGGACAAAGATCTCTGAAGACATCACCGTAGAACTGAACATCAACGACATCTTTGATCCCACACCAGATGACATTGTTTCCTCAAAGAAGAAGTAAAGTAGCCTTTAATTTTTTTCTTGTACATTTGTTTTAATTAGTTTTGTGAATTTGTGGTCTAAATAACAAATCTGTACTTTCAGGTTACAGGATTTAACAGACAGGGATTTGGCCAAACATGAAAGAGAAAAGGCCCTCAACACCCTGGAGGCATTTATCTTTGAGACCCAGGTAAACAACAGAAGTTCTTTTTACTTTTTTTTGTTTATGTTAGAGAAGCCACTATGAAGGAATTACAATGTAGACCTAAGTGCATGTCAGTATTTGTTGTATAAAATGACCCAAACTTTAAAACCATATCACAACCACATAACATTGCCTCCTCAGGACAAGCTGTACCAGGATGATTACCAGGTGGTGGTGTCGGAAGAGGAGAAGGAGGAGATTGTTGCAAAGCTAAAGGAGGCATCAGAGTGGATGGATGAGGAGGGTTACTCGGCCACCACTAAGCAGCTCAGAGAGAAGCTGTCGCAGCTGAAGGCCCTCTGCAAGGACATGTTCTTCAGGGTGGAGGAGCGGAGTAAGTGGCCGGATCGCCTGGCCGCTCTGGAGAGCATGCTCAACACCTCCAGCTTCTTCCTTAGGTAAGGGATGAAAGGGAAGGGTTGTGAAGTCAAAGGTGTCATTTGATGTGAAGTCCTTCAGATATCATTCTGCTTCCTCAGTGCCGTAGCACTGACTGTATTTGATAAATGATGGCCGCGTTTGAATCCAGCTGTTTGGTCTTCTTTTAAAGGAGCGCAAAGCTGATTCCAGAGGACGACCAGATCTTCACTGAAGTGGAGCTGAACATGTTAGAAAAAGTCATCAACGAGACCTCGGTAGGTACTAAGAATACAGTACTGTATGCTGAATGTATGCTGCTATTCACAAAGTCCCCACATGATGGCGACTGTGTCATGCTTTTAGGCCTGGATATGTTTCGTGAAGAGGGTGAGCTAATGTTTGAAAAAATGTTTGATGTTTCCCACATGTAACCTGTAAACCATTATAGTTAGATGTTGTTCTTGACTTTTAAAAGGTAAAAAATGAGTATTTGGATTAGGTTTGATATCTTCTCTTCTTAGTCATAAACACTTTATTTTATGCTTTTCTTAACAAAGACACTTATTATATATCTAAATTTGCATTGACAGATGTGAAAATAAAACAAACTTTACTGTGATCATTGTTCCTTTACACTAAGTAATATGTAAATGGCAGGTCTGTTCTGTGGAGGCAGTCATGCGAGATCCTCATGTTTGAGTAAAGAAATAGAACAAATAGCCTTGAGGTTTAAATATTAACCGCGGTTACATTTATGTTCTCCCACAGACACACCGTACTACTTTGCGTGCTAGATGTAACTGAAACTTCACAGTGTTCACTTTAAGCAATTATGGTTGATAATTGAGAACTTCCTTGGAGTCTCCAAAATATCTCTGATAAAACTTGAGAATGCTAACAGAAAACCACACCGATCTCATCAACCCACATTTTCTGTTTCCTCCAGACGTGGAAGAATGAAACAGTAGCGCAGCAGGAGAAACGCTCACCAAAAGAGCGTCCAGTCCTGCTGTCCAAAGACATCGAGTCCAAGCTGGCGCTGCTGGATCGGGAAGTCAACTACCTGCTCAACAAAGCCAAGTTTGCCAAGCCCAAGGTTAAACCCAAGGCCAAGAACAGCACAAGCTCTGAGAAGAGCAGCAAGGCCAATGAAACGGCGGAGGAGAAAGTCATCCCTCCTGCAGAGGAGAACACAGACGACAAGAGCGGTGGGTCAAAGGGTCAATGGCACGATGCACGCAAGTTCTTCCACTGTGGGTTAAAAATCAGAACCTTTTATGAGGATGAAATAATAAACAATGTTCTTTTTTTTCTCCACATCCAGAAACAGAGGAGGCGCAACCAGGCAAAGCCCCGCCCACAGAAGAAAGCACTCCACAAACAAATTCTGACAATGAATCACAAACCTCGGAAGAAAAGACAGCTACAGGTCGGTCTGCCAAACCCAAATCTGATAACGCTGGAGAGCTTTAGACAGGGGTGAAAATATTAGGCACAGGTTTATTTGCACTATGAACTCAGAAATCAGCTCAAAGTTTTTTTTTTATGTTTTTAATTTTTAAAACCGTATAAAAGCTCAGTTTATGCACTTAATTGTGTGTGTATGAAGTAAATTGTTTTTAATTTAAAAGCACAGAATTAAAAAGGGATAACTGCTAAAAGTGGTGAAATGACTGAAACTGTTGGTCCTAATATCAGTGAACGAAATGAACGAGTATGTACGAATGTAGTGTTTTCATATGTGATTGTTTAGAGCAAATAAACCTCACGTTGTAATAATTATGATATTCTTGATTATTTATGATGTATTTTTTCAAGTACAGCTACGTTGTATTAGGTTGGTTTGTACCAAAAATAAATGTTTAAGCAGTCAGCTAAATCTCTTCATACTAATTTTCTCTTTTATGACAGTTTTTACCACAGCTCTGATCATGGTCGTCTTTTCCTCTGAGTTTTCTTTGTTGTGTAAATTGTGTAAACCCCACAAGTTATCAGATTTATTTTCCCTCTCTCATCATTTCAGGAGCAAAGGAGGAGACCCACTCAGAAACCCACAGAGGAGATGAATTATAACAACTGGGATTCGGGGGGGGGATCACTATATTTATTGACAGTGTAAAAATGTTCAACTTTAGCATCATGTTCTCTTCTCAGTTTTTTTTCTTTTTCTGTTTGAGTTCTTTTGTTGGAACAGCCTGGAGTTTTAATGGATGATGATCACGTTCATCACTTGGTCTCCTTCACCTCGTCCCTCTCTAATGGATTCTGTGGAGGACGGACACCTCCTGCTCTTTGCAAAAGAACCAGTGAAATAAAACTGAGTTCTGATAATGTGTGCTTTGGCAAAAATTGAAGTCCAGACATAATTCCTGTTCACAACCGAGATCCCCTCACCAGCAATTATACAAGAAATCTCAGTGCAGTTGTGGTGTCGTTACAGTAGACATGAGGCCAGAGAGGGCGCTGTCCCTGATGCTTCTCTCTTCTTCTCACTGTTTGCTCCTCCTGTTTGCTCCTCCTGAGTTTAACATTTTGTGGTATCAGATTAAGTTCACTATTGTCTTCTTCAGTCTTCTTGGTTTTTTTTTTAAACCCCAAAATATTGTTTTTCTTTACGGAGTCCCAACCAAATAAAATAATTTAATTAACCTGCAGTACTGTGCAAAGTTTCAGAGGGATGCATACATTTATTTACCATAAATTCTCTTTTTGCAGCTTTTTTTTTGCTGTCAAGTATTTAAACTAAATATAGAGAATCAAAAACTCCTGAGGGCAAAAGCACATTTCTTTATTATCTAAAAAAAAATACTCAATACAACAAATATTGGACGCTCAGATACGGGAAAGGGGCCTCAACTGTGACACCTTCAGGGGAGGTGGCTTAAAACCACATTCAAATTCATACTTCAAATTATTAAAAATGATTCATTAGTAAACTTAAACCATTTAATGTTGTTGGTAATGAGCTTTTCTCTACATTTACTTTTAATACTTAGAAAATGCATACTTAAAAGGTCTGCAAAAAGGTGTAATAAATGTACTCACTAAGATCTAAAATTTTGGCACAACAATGTAGGTCTATGTTACATTAATTTCATTAATCTGATTTATGAAATGTTCTGTTTGACGTCCTCAAACTGCTGTCACAACCATGACTAACTCTTGATCTACTGAGCCTGTCATTCTGGTGTATTTACCATGAAAATAATTTGTCAAACTTTTAACTCTTACAAAAGCCATAACATTAAAAAAAAAAAAAAAAAAAAAGCCCAGCCTAGGTCAAGTCTTGTTTTATTAAAATATCACCAACAAAATCCCTAAATTTCATACTTCTAATCTCATGGACGGTTGTGGCATCAAATACTTCCCTGTAACATGTGGGTGAGGTGCTCGTCTCCTACAGAGATTGGTGGGATTTTACAGTTTTGTTTTTTTAACATTGTCGACACAGTGTTGTGGATATTAATTATGGTTGGTTTATTTGGGTCTGGAGCATAAACAGTGGCTGTGAATGTGAGATTTACATTCAGTGGGTTAAGTGTCACAGAAACATTGGTTTCTACAGCAGCTGAAGTCCTGTGGTACATGTACGCAGCATGAACGCACACGCACAAGGTCCAACTGTCCAGTTTAGACCAGGACTACTGATGGTGCTCCCTTCAGAGTCCAGAACTGGTTGTATAGAATCGTAATAGCAGGAGTTGCCGATGTAAATTTGAACCGCTTCTTCTCATCTGTTGTAAGCTGTCGTTCTTTTGGTCCATGTGCAACCAACATGGTTTTTCTACTGATCCCAGTTCAGCCTTTAAGGACGTTTTCAGTGACTGTAATGAAACTGTAATGAAAATGTTGAGAGCTACTAAGCATCACATGTGTTTACTGAGAGATGTTCTTCAACAGCTCTGTTGATCAAGCTCTAGCCCAGTAGATAGCACGCGCTGTTTGAATGAGGTGTAAAGGCAACCTGGATGATTTGAATTTTTGTTTATTATTTCGGGAAACCTCTATCAAAGAACGCCAGAAATAGAACACAAACAATGATGTTTCTAAACTGTTAAATAAAAAGATTTTGTTTTTAAATATGTTCATTTATTAAACACTTCAACTAAACAATATCTTTGCATATTCACATACTACTACAGTAGCTATATCAAGTTCTGTCATGGCTCCTCTGCATACTTACTATTCAACATTTTATCTTCCTAAATCAGCCTTTATCATTTCCTTCCTCAGTCTACTGCTTTATTATTTTTTGGGTCAGTGGCCTCTAGAAGGTAGACACATACGGAAGGGGGGCGTGGTCGTTTCGGTGTCCATACCTTGTCTTCAGTATGTCTCCTTCCCAGGTGACTGAGACGTAAATGTTGTTGATTGTCTTTCACTGGCAACAGTCTTTCCTTGTTTGCAGGATTGATTTCTCACCAAGTAGTGCTCAGCATTGTTTTTCCATCGTCACACTAACACACACACACACCCGTCTTTCTAACTGTACAGTATTTACAGTTCAGAACGCTCTCTTCCACCATGTTCTTTTCATAACTTTTACTATCTTTGAAGTGAATTATAACTTTTTAGTGATATTGTATTGTAAAACTTTGACCATCCTTGCTATTACCATCATTGCTTTTGTCTTTAACTAATAACTAAGATAGTAACTCACCCTCGAGCACTAATTTTCTCTGGGTGCCAGAGAAAATTAACAAAGTTTGTGTGTGTTTGCTCCTATCTCATTGAGGTTATAGTTGTCTTGGGGCCCAAACCAACTGAGACCACAACTGGAATCAACAGCATCAGCTGATCAGATACTTAAAAAAAACACTCCGTCTGTGTATGAATATCTACCTTCTGAACAGCAATTCATACACAGTAGCCTTTAGGTCAGCCAAGATAAATCCAGCTCTAACTTTATGTGACATTTTAAAGATATTAACCATAAATCATAAACCACCATACCATTTTATAAAACACATTTATTAGCAACAGAATTACAAAAATGTCTAAAGCTAGAGAGGAAAGGGGAAAACACCCTGACCTGCGTTACCTTAGAAAAGAGCCCTCAAACCTTTTTACCCTTAACTCTATTCTACATTATAGACAGTGAATGACCCAAGAGTGCATGCAGGCTTATATTCCTATGGTTATGAATGCAGGAGTGATAGTGTTTCTTAAAGGGAACAAGACTTCCTCCAGGGCATAATGTACTTTATACCACGGCAAAAGCCCCAATAGTACATCTACTGTTTCACACCTTGTCCTCTTTACTTAGAATATGTTCTTCACACGGCTGAATAAAGACATTAGGGTCAAAGTCACGACAATAGGAGACACAGGACATTCTTCTTACTGTCTTATTTTAATAAAGCGGTATTATATTCAATATAATGACGCCAAGAATGAAAACAAAAAGGCAGATGACCTCTGAACTTTGTGTTCATTTTTGGCTCCCATGTTACTGTACAAGGTAGAACATACCAGAGGAAACAGGTCACTGTTCTTATGAGGTCGTATTGACTCGCCGTGTCATTCTCGTGGGTCCAGAATTGTGTTGTTTAAAATTCTTCTGGAGTTGTAGTTTTGGTAGAAGACAAAGGCTGCGAGAGTAAGACAGATGGCGCCGATGATGCCGGCAATGACTGAAACCACCACCACAGTCTGATGAGTCTTTTGGTGGCCTGTGAAGGGAAGTGTGGTTTAGTCAGTGTGAGGTTGTTAGGGGGAAAATCATGTGATTATATGATCATGATTACTAGTACAAAAATGAATAGATCTTGATTTGGAAGGAATGATTAGGAACCTTATTAGAATAAGCTCATGTTGATAGTGTTTTCACTCACCTTGTAATCCTGATAATAAATCTGTAAGAAGACAACAAACAGACACACACAGTCATGAGCAAAGGTAGACTCAGAGTGTAACAAATGTGATTTGACAAATACAACATTCAGTCTTTTTCATTTTCTCACCGTTGTCTAAGCGGATGACGATGCGGCCTGAAGTGACGGTGGTGGAGTCACTCACTGTGGTGTCCCCGTCATCAGTGGCCCTGCGTCTCCTCCAGGGTAGGCCACACCTCTGTGTGTAGGAGGAATGATGTTATTTACATAGGTTTAGTTTTCATGTTGAAAATAACTTATTGTATGCAACGGACGGCAGTGGAGTGCTGGTGTGGGAAAAGAAAAGTTGTTGCCCTGGTGGTACAGTATGGGTAAGTGACTGGTCGTCAGTCAGTCAGTCTCTGGTGAGTGTCGTTGGCTGACCTGTATGAGGCTGGGGCAGATGGCATTCACGCACAGTCTGGTGGCACAGTGGACGTAGTAGGTGGAGAGGACAGCGGTTGTGTTGTCCACAAAGCGAAAAGCCTCAAATGAGAAGCGAGCTTCCTGGTGTACTCCATTTCTGGCTATCACCGTCTGACCATCGCGGTGACAGCTGCAGAGGACGGAAGTTTGTGAAAATTAGCACCGTGTACAAAAACTATAAAAAATAATTACACATTAATGAAAAATAAACACTAGACTAAATAAAAGTACAATGTAAAGTCTGCCGTTAAGTGGGACACATTGTCAGGCAAAGAAAATGGAAAACGTTTTTTTCAATTCCACCTATTTTCTTTCCTACATTTCATGAATGTCTGTTTTTTTTCCCAATATAAACATTACACATATATATATGTGAATGAATATATGGATAATATATTACATTATGTCATGTTATCTTATGTTACATTACCTCACTTTACCTTACGTTACGTTGGATTGAACTTGCCTGGACTAGACTGGACTAGACTAGTCAAGAGTAGATTACACTAGATTACACTAGATTGGATTAGATTAGATTGATCTCTTATTGGATAAATGGTCCCACTGCATCAACAAAGGGACAGAGGTAAAAAAGATAAAAGCAAAGGTAAGAATAAAAAACACACGAAAAACTGTGCAGAGCTGATGCTACGAGCCACCACTCAGGCAGCACTATACTGGAGTTACCTTCATTATTTACTCTGGTAATACAAATAAATACAATTATAAAGAAACAGAGAAGGAGAAAAGTCTAATAGTTAATGGTCTCTGTGGTGTGATTTCTTACCCAACAAAGAGATCATAGATATTGGTTTCAATGAGGAAAGGGGAGGTTGTGGCGTAGCAGCGATCCAAGAGTACGTTGAACCTGCAGTAAGACATTTTAAGAACAAACAGTTAGAGCCAAATATACATATACATATATATGTGTGTGTGTGTGTGTTTTTACAAAGTCATTTTGAGTGAGGATTTAGTGGCAGAAAACGATGCTAATTATAGTTCAGTGCATGAAAGCGTACCTGTTGCTGAGGTTTGATGCTCTCACTTCCACAAAGATCCTGGTCTTTAGCTCCAGGCCCTGTTGAGGGATTCGTAGCAGGGAGGAGTAGCTGTTGTCCTTCACAGCCAATCAAACAAGAGAGAACAAGGACGGCTTCAGTAAAGACCGACATATTGACTTCTACTATCAGTTTCTGATAGGTGCAAGCCTGTCTGGACCACACAATAGTCCAATAGCCCTTTTTTAAGAGTCATCAGATTCAAATGTCTAGATTCAAATGTCTATATAATATAATAATTTAGTTTACGAAAGTGACACTCGTTTATAACTTGTGCCTGAAGCGAACGACTGAGACAAACATTTGATCTCCAAAGAGTTTGTATAAGACTATTAAAGTTTACTGAAGGCTCTGTTACCTGTAGCTTCAAGTACAAAACAGTGTTAACAGCCCCTAGTGGTCATTAAAGGCACTGAGGACCCAGTCACTTCTATTTTGGCGTTAAGATCAGTAACAGAGAGAGACAAGAGTCCATTTTTACAAACTCCTTGTTTGTTTAACAACTAGCTTCTGTATTATGATCTCCTTCTGGTGTTGTACAGTTTGATATTGCCAGTGTCTCAGCTCTGTAATGTTTTGGGGCTGCATTTTAGCCAGTAACATTTGGGAACTTGTCAAAATTGATAGTCCCATGATCTCAGAATAATTTCCAGTATCTACTACTCATGTACCACTGGAAATTTCACGTTTGTTATTTTCACACTGACAGCCGCTAGAGGGCACTCTAGGCTTGTGTACCAGTATCTGCTACTTCTGTAAGTCGCAATTCTTTTAATCCATAGGCTGGTGGGATTTATACTATGGAGCAACTTATAATCCAGATAAAATACGGTAATATTAGAGCTTGGAGTTGGACCAGAGGTCTTAAAGATGACACCCCCACTGTTTCACCTCATACAGTTGCATGCTGAGTGTGCTGATGAAACTGCCGTTGTTTTCTCTGATCGCCAGGTTGACCCCAGACCTGTGGAGAGGGGAGAGGTGGGGAGGTGGGGGGGAGGGTTTCCATCAACAGCTGGAATTTAGTGCAGGCACCACCCAAGTCATCAACAACCAGGTCATTACTCACTCGATACACTAGGAAACAACACCTGTCTGAAACTAAACTCACAGGTAACACACACCTGTGAGCGCACTGTTGGCCCATTAAACCTATAACTAAATATGGTAATGTGATATTTCTTTAGGTATAAACAATATTTTGTTTGGGTTTCAAAGGACAGAAGCCTCAACGATTACTCAAATATTAATGTACTGTACTAATGTATTGTATTTTACTGTATCTTACTGTACTCTACTCTACTCTACTCTACTGTACTCTACTGTACTATACTGTACTATACTATACTATACTATACTATACTATGTTGTACTCTGCTCACAGCTTTACTGGTTATGCTGGGTTTTCTATGGTTATTATTCTACTGTTCTGTACTTCACTGTACTACTTCATTCACATTGATCCACAGTCCTATACTCTGGATTTTAATTGTTTACCAGTAACAAAAGGGATTCTACTGATAGATGACTTTTTGACAAAAGAGGTCACGTCATAGAAACACAGAGACCCACGTTCTATAGTGGAAACATTTGTATCAATATTCAAAGGGTCACTTACACACTCATCTGTGTATTGTTGATAAGGTACTGTAGAGCGTAGCGGCATGAGAACCTGTACATCACCTCCTGGTGGTAGGTGATAGCGCCTCCGTGCGGGTCCTCTGAGCAGAGCATCCCAGAGATGTTGACAAACTCAACAGTGGAGAATTCTGAAAACAACCCTGTTCCCTGTTCTTTGTAGACCTTTGAAGAAGAAGTGTGAGAGGTTTGGTGGGTAAAAAAAAAACACTTTTGTGTTAGTGTGTGTGTGTCTCCACTTACTGTCAGTGAACTGGAGCAGCTATTGATGCCCTCCTCTGTGATTGAGAAGTTGAATCTGACAACAGGAGGGTCCACCGTCCAGTCAGCCACACCGTGACACTCCGGTTTGGAGTGTTCTGAGTTGAAGGCCAGCATGGACTCATTGTAGCCATTAAAGTAAATGGGGCACATCAGGATGCTGATGTCTATTGTTTGGGCTCCACATGAGACATCGATGTCCGAATTGGCTGAGTGAGACAAAGATGAAGAAGAAGAAGAAAAAGAAGCTAATTTAGCTTTCAGGATATGGAACATAGCAGCGGCTACAATAAGTTAAGAAGTTTATCATCTGGCAGGTTTTTAACCAGTGAACAACCCATAAAACATGTTTTCATCATCATCACAAATTAGAATAAAACACTGAGCTGCTACTACTAAAACCAAATAATTATCTTTGACTATGTATTGATGTAGTACTAAGTACAGCATCATTCTGAGGACTTGGATGGGAATTATCAAATTAAAATGTCATGTTGAATGTAAATATGTCAAATATCTAATACTAGATGACTCCTGTAAACTGGTATAAACCTAGAGTGAATAATAGATATTTCTATTATTTTGTATTCTGTATCTTTTTACACAGTGTTGGCACTGACCTGGACTCCTGAAGGTGGGCTCTCCACTGCAACCATTTTGAGCGTACGTGAGAGAAAAACTGGCAAGCTGATAGGTAAGAAGGACCATCCACATTGTCCTAACACTACAGGGACAAACAAGAAAGACAGAGTCTCGCGCTCTTCCCTTTATAGCAGGTCACATGAAACTGGAAAAAACCCAACTGTCTACACCGGCTTGTCCCAACATTTCAGTCCAGTTAATACTTATTTAAGCTAAATATAGGTTTAAATGTGGGCATGCTGGGAAGTACTGACTTGTCTCTTTATATTAGTTTAGTCTCCAGGATTAGTTAGGATTAGAGTGTTAGGAAGTTTCTGTAAAACTGATAGCTGTTGCAGCATATTTTAATTACTTTCCGATTTAAAAATTATTATTATTATTAGAAGCAGTAGTATCAACTACAACCTCAATAATAATAATAATAATAATAATAATAATAATAATAATAATAATAATAATAATAATAATAATAATAATAATAATAATAATAATAATAATAATAATAATAATAATAATAAAATGTGTCATAACTGATGGAAAACTGTAGGGATTATAACTTAATTATTTGTTAGCATATTAATATTATATAAATAGCATGTCTATACATATTATATAGAATAGATAATCCACAAAAACATTATAGAAGAAAAATATCTTGCATATTATGCCAAACAACAACAATACTCTTTTTTTGGAGGTTGTAGTACTTAAAGTACTTTTATTTTTTTCCAACATTTTTTTCAAATCTTAATAGAAATATGATCAAACATACAGCTGTTTGTTGCATATAGTTATACTTTGAATTTTAGTATTAATTAAATATCTTTACAGTGGTCAACTGATGTATTGCACCTTATTTAAGAATGAGTACCAGAAAAATGTACTTTATGATGAAGTTACCAGTTACACTGCTCAGGAAAACAGAACTTGTTTTAAAGTCATTCATTCTGTCCTTTCAGTGTCTGCGCTGGTTTCAAGTCGTCTAAAAGTTCACTTGTCCAGAGCTGCAGTCATGCTGTACCATAATTTACCTGGGATAAAATGATCCCAAAGAAATAACCTCAGACTGTTGAAAATATGAAGTACACAGTAGGGTGAAGAGAGCGTGGCCTACCTTGTGTGGAAGCTTCCCCTCCTTTTTCCCTCAGTGTGTTGTGTTTGTGTCTGCTAGCTCCTCCATGACAGACATTTATACTGTCCTCCTTTCAGGCCAATGACAGGAGGTTCTCAGAGAGGGTGAGAAGACGAGGCCGTGGAGGAAGAGCAACACAAGCTGGTGAGATCCTAGGAGGAGATCATCTGACACTCAGGTAACAATCAGGGCTGTTTTTGGAAACATGAAGCACCACAATAAGTGGTCCATTAATTTTACCTGTCACGTTTGCAATGACATCAACTAAAAATCACGTCATGACATTTGGAGCGCAGCCAGAAATTCTGTGTCGTTTGACTCACGTTTTCATGGGGTCTGGAAATACTGTGAAATAGACGTGTTTGTCTCTAACAGTCTGATGTCATTCTAATAGATTTGAACACGGCTTCACTCGTCAACCAAACAAACACTAATCAACCAAATGGCCAGACTGCTAATGTTCAAATGAACAAAAATTCTAAATATTTATTTTATTTTTTTCTCTTCACCGTCCTACATGTTTTCGAGTGGTTCCATTACTTTTGCCATGGACGACCAGTCATTGTTGGGAAATGAGGTCTTCTGCACATCATCTTAGAGATGGAGGGAGAGAGAGGGGGAGAGAGGGAGGGGAGAGAGAGGGAGAGAGAGAGAGGGGAGAGAGACCTTCCAAACAAAACCTCCTACATTATTGTCACCTGAACCATCATCCCCCCACACACAGATCCCCCTGCACGAACCCTGAAGCCCTCTCTTAACAATGGACTGGGGATGAGCTTACACTGAGCCCAGCATTGAGAAGGTGTCGTGCTGGTGCTTTTTCCCATTCAGCAGCCATGAGTGGATCCAAGTGGCTTGTTAGCTGCAGGGCACTTTTTAAAATGATATCCTGGACCAGCCACTAAACCATTTTTTTATACTTTGAATCATTCAGTCATCTTAGGCCACTTAATCTTTTTTTAGAATCATGGTGGTGGCTGGAGATCTCATAATCATAATAATACATTGTATTTTTATGCCCTTTCCAGAACTCTTACTTAAGTTTACAATAGCCATCAGCATCATAGGTACAAGTGACTTTTGCATCACACTATGAGGGATGAATGATGAATCATGTGAAGCTACTAGGAAACTAGGAAACACTAGGAAACCACTAGGAAACTCTAACACTGGAACACTTTGAACTTGAATCTGACTCAGTCTGTTCTTCACCCTTTGATTCATGTCCTCATTACCTCAGGGTGCAACTTTTTAGTAACTGAAAGCAGCTTCTTTTCACTGAGCGTCTCAGTAACCGGATCTGTTTTGTTGTGACAGTGTTTATTTTTATACTTTGTAAATATGAATAATAACGGATGCTAGAGTTTGAGCCAATGTGTATGGTTTTACTATGATCTTTACATTATTTTTATTATTTCAGCTGTTCTCTTTGTGCAAGTCCCCACATACAGTAGGTAGAAAGTTCATTAAAGATTTCGATTACCCACCACTGTTTTGCTCTGATCATAATGAACTGTAATGTGCCTCAAATAAATCCATATGAACACACACACACAAACACAGTCACCACATAGACTAATTTACACTGAATTATTCATTGTAGTCATCAATAAGAGGATTACAATTACATTTTAATTTCATTTATATTGTTGCCACTGGGTGTCGCCAATTTCCACTACTTGCAGGCATACCGTACAGATTGGAACGGTCATTCGGTGCAAATAAAGTATAACCTTTACAGGGGGTTTCAAAGGAATAAAAAAAATCAATGAAATAACCCACAGCATTATTATCTTTGCATACAACAGGGCATTGTAAATATTTTAGTGATCAACCTTTTTTTTCTTCTGTTTTTGTCCTTATTATACTTTTTTATAATAATAATGTCTGCTGCCCGTCCTGATGTCCTCAGTTACTGCTAAAAAACACTTTCTAAATGCGGAATATAAATGTTACCAGGCAACAGATGTCAGATGTCTACTAAGAAATTTAGCAAGCCACACGTACGTGGGTCTGATTGCACTACCTGGAGTTCCTAATAGTTCAATTCTACCAAATTATTTATTGGTTTTCCGTATTTCACTCTTACAACAATTTAAAGCATAATTCAATTTTATACACACAATTTTAAGGACTCAGGATTTAGTATATTGTCCTTGTTTTTATATATATAATTCTATTTGTAAGATGGGCTACTTTGAGTTGGCATTATTGTTTTGTTTTACAAGCTAAAACAGAATGGGGAACCATTTTAGATTGATAACGCCCCATTGCACTGCCTGTATATATAACATGGCTTTGTAAATTTGTGTGTGCCATTTCTGCTTTGGGATTGGTGTGATTTGAATCAGAGGACGTACGGTGAAACAAAACGCGCTCTCTATTGGTGCATTTGTTTCGGATTCGATCCACCAATCAGAGAAGGACATGTGGTTTATATAAATTTTCGCTTGGATTTCTATGACGTAAAAACGGTGTGGTTGTTATTGTCACCTTTGTTTGTGTTCGGCATTTTAATACAACTACACACCCACTAACATGTCTGGCAGAGGAAAAACCGGAGGTAAAGCCAGGGCTAAGGCCAAGTCTCGCTCCTCTCGTGCTGGCCTGCAGTTCCCAGTAGGTCGAGTCCACAGGCTACTGCGTAAGGGCAATTATGCGGAAAGAGTCGGAGCCGGGGCTCCTGTGTATCTGGCGGCTGTGTTGGAATATCTCACAGCCGAGATTCTGGAGCTAGCAGGCAATGCTGCCAGAGACAACAAGAAAACCAGGATCATCCCCAGGCATCTTCAACTGGCCGTACGAAACGACGAGGAACTCAACAAGCTGCTGGGAGGTGTGACCATTGCCCAAGGCGGTGTGCTTCCCAACATCCAGGCTGTTCTCCTGCCTAAGAAGACTGAGAAGCCCGCAAAGAGCAAGTAAAGACTTTTCCGAGGCTCTGCTCCACTGGGGACACAGCTAAGGCTCTGCTTTTGTCAAATTTTCATAGTGTTACAGTGTTTTTGTTTGGAATAAACATTTTTTGACTAGGGGCGGTGTCTGAGTGAAAACACACTAGCTCCTCTTCGGGACTATTCACGGATTCTGTATCCTCCGTGTTGCTGTGGAAAATGGAGGTGCTCTCTGAAGGCTAATGACGAAGGAGGCCTCGGAGAAGCCAGTTTCTTAACATAGACCAATTCTCAAGGGGTGGGAGGGGTGTTTTATTTTCCCAAAGCTGCTACTAAACGTGTAACGTTGTTTTATTGTCATGTTTCAATAAATGTCCTGCAGCCTTTTGGCACATGGAGAATTCAGGCAGTGTTTATTTTGATTTCAACAGTGGCCTCGTCTTTGTGTGTGTGCAGGCTGCACTAATGGACTGCAGCTTCATGCTTCATGGCCTCATGCTAGCTGTAATTTACACTTGTAGGAATATCAGTTTCAATAAATGTTACAAGCGTATACCGAAGTTATTTGTTTCCTTTGGTTATCGTTTTGAGTTTAGCAGACAGTGGGGACCAGTAGTACTAAAAGTAGCCATGGCCCTGGTGTAAATGCACTTAAAATTTGCTGGTCATTTTTACAAAATAGGGTTCTAGATTTATTAACCTGGTTACTTCAAGACTAAGCAATTGCATAAAAACCAGTTCCACATCTGGAACAGAACTAAAAGGCTCTGCCTCTCCAACAGTTTAGTTTAAAGAAGATTGTTACATAGGTATTATGTCATTTGTTTTTCTTGGAGGTGATTCTGACATGGACTACTCACAAGGTTCATTTACAAGTTAATTACATATATTAGTACTTGCTAGGGACAGCCCTTTGACCTTAGACCAGGAACCTTTTTATAACACTTTGTTTTGTTGTGTTGACCAATATCCTGTTAGCCTATGCTCCAAGTGACTATTAGGGGGCCCAACATGGTAAATACCTGGCTTGGCTCAGTTTGTATTTACTACAAGACACTACCCTACCCATAATGTCTAAATTGTGATAACAAAACAAAAGAGGATTTACAGTTTCAACTTGTTTATGCCAGAATACCAGTTAATTAAAGTAATTACCTCTTACTGTCATTACCAGCCTTTGATAACTTTAACTACCACAACATTTGGTTATTCAGTTATTACATGTGATGTTTAGTAATTATGTTGTTTAGGTATAATTTGTTATTGTGCTTTTGTAACAATTAGTAGGAACAATTACTGCCAGATTTAAGGTCTGAGTCCATTCAGGGTGTTTTGCTTAATGATAGTTTATTGCAGGCCTATTAGGAACAACACCTGTTTTCACAAAGTGTGGTTCTTTAGTAATATGGAAACAGAAAGAAAGCTAGAAAAGGTCACATTATAAGAAAACACAAAAGAGAGACATCTACTCATGTTAAGGTTTGTAGTATCTTTATTTTTAACCATTCACAACCTATATGTAAAAAAAATTCAAATAAAATATATGGACCCACCGTACATTAGTCTGATGGTAAAGTGGTACCAGATACAACTTAACATTTATTTGGTTTAATAGCCACTAAAATGGTATGCTAATGCTAAACAGATTAACTATAGCTGATAACTTAGAGTTGTGTTTTTACTGCCATGTTTTTCCTCATTTTAAATTTGAGCCAATATTATCAACATATTCAACTGAAAAATGCAAGGTGCAATACTTTTCCATAGAATGAAAAAGGTTTTGTAATGTAAGTTACAATAAAGTGCATAAAACAGAGTTACAAAGACATCTTTTGGAGACATGCGTCAGTGAAAACTATTTCACTGAGTGCTTAATCCATCGTACAGTCATACTTATGGTCATGTTCATGCTTATTCATTTTTCCAGTGGTGTACAATATCTGCTGCAGATGCCACAGATTAATCGACCTCCTCAATAGTTGGCCCAGTGGATCCTCCACCTGCAGAAGCACCAGCCGCTCCAGGGAAGTTTCCTGGCATCCCACCGGGCATACCTCCAGGCATTCCTCCAGCACTCTGGTACAACTTGGTGATGATGGGGCTACACACCTTTTCCAGCTCCTGTTGCTGATGTTCATATTCGTCTTTCTCTGCAGTCTATATTACAAGCACAAACACATGAATTCAGATACAAGATTTAGTTCAAAGCATATAAGTATCACCATTACCCCTGGGGTTGGATGGATGAGCTTAATGAAGCCTGACCTAATTGTTAGTAACGAATTGTTTAAAGCGACCATGCAGTTCTCCGATTGGCTGTTTATATTTCACGGGGTGTTTTTGGGGGGGGGTAACATTTCACCTCCAGTCCCAAACACATCTGTCCTTAGGGGCTGTTCTTCTTTCATCTAGTTGTCAATAACAGGTCTCTATCATCATCAATGAATTCTTCTCTGGAACATGTAAAAGTACGTAGCAATGTACAAATGTGTTCTTAGCACTGCCTTCAGCAGAGGGAGGGGATCATTTTCCTTTAGTGTGTTTAAACCATGCCCGGAGTCCTATGTTTAACAGAATTGTACTAATGTACACTGATCCTCACCTGGTTCTTGTCAAGCCAGCTGATGACTTCATTGCATTTATCCAAAATCTTCTGTTTGTCCTCGTCGCTGATCTTGCCAGCAAGTTTCTCATCCTCCACAGTGGACTTCATATTAAAAGCATAGGACTCCAGGCCGTTCTTAGCAGACACCTTGTCACGCTGCACGTCATCCTCGGCTTTGTATTTCTCAGCTTCCTGGACCATGCGCTCTATGTCGTCCTTGCTGAGTCGACCTTCAGTTAAAAGAATATATTACCATTTGTTTTTGTGTGACGACATTGCAGCTGTATTTTGCATGATTAATCGTTTCATTTTCGTACCTTTGTCGTTGGTGATGGTGATCTTGTTCTCCTTTCCAGTGCTCTTGTCAGCAGCAGAGACATTCATAATGCCATTGGCATCAATATCAAATGTCACTTCAATCTGAGGAACACCACGGGGAGCAGGGGGGATGCCCGTCAGCTCAAATTTACCCAACAAATTGTTGTCTTTGGTCATTGCACGTTCACCCTCGTACACCTGTTTAGGATCAAAAAAATTTATAGGAAATGGTTATAAGATTGGCACATGTAGTGAGTCTGAACATCTCAACAACCTCCTGTAAAATCTCCAGAGGAAAGTAAGTGTATCCGTATGGCTTCTTTTGCTGACATTACCTGAATGAGGACACCAGGCTGGTTGTCTGAGTAGGTGGTAAAGGTCTGGGTCTGCTTGGTGGGAATGGTGGTGTTACGCTTGATCAGGACAGTCATCACACCTCCAGCAGTCTCAATACCCAGGGACAGAGGGGTGACATCCAGAAGCAGCAGGTCCTGCACATTCTCAGACTTGTCTCCGCACAGAATGGCAGCCTGGACAGCTGGAAATATGGTTAATCTAGTTAGGTTTTGTGCCAGAAATGTTGTATGAAAATTATTTTATTGTCATAGATGTGCATGTCAATTATTGGTTATGAATTTACCAGCGCCATAGGCCACTGCCTCATCTGGATTGATGCTCTTGTTGAGCTCCTTTCCATTGAAAAAGTCCTGGAGCAGCTTCTGGATTTTGGGGATACGGGTGGAACCACCAACCAACACGATGTCATGGACCTTCCCCTTATCCATCTTTGCATCCTGGAGAGACTTCTCCACAGGGCCCAAGGTGCCACGGAAGAGATCAGCATTGAGCTCTTCAAACCGAGCCCTGGTGATGGATGTGTAGAAGTCAACTCCCTCGTACAGGGAGTCGATTTCGATGCTGGCCTGAGTGCTAGAGGACAGTGTGCGCTTGGCCCTCTCACAGGCAGTACGCAGACGACGAACAGCCCTCTTGTTGTCACTGATGTCTTTCTTGAACTTGCGTTTGAATTCTGTGATGAAATGGTTTACCATGCGGTTGTCAAAGTCTTCCCCACCAAGATGAGTGTCTCCTGCTGTGGATTTGACCTCGAAAATACCATCCTCTATGGTCAGGATGGATACATCGAAGGTGCCGCCACCAAGATCAAAGATGAGGACGTTCCTCTCTGCTCCGACCTGAAAAATAAAAGACAGGGTCAGCCTCTCTGTTGACGTTGTAATGGTTGAATAATTCTACATCTAGTAATAAACCTCACCTTCTTGTCCAAACCATAGGCAATGGCAGCTGCAGTGGGCTCATTAATAATTCTCAATACATTAAGGCCAGAGATTGTTCCAGCGTCTTTGGTTGCTTGGCGTTGAGAGTCATTGAAGTATGCAGGAACAGTGATGACGGCATTTGACACAGACTAGAAAGAAGTTCAAACAAACGTTAAGTATAAGGTCAGTTATAATTTTCACCACAGTTGCTGTTTCTGGAGATATTTTTTCCTTTTACAAAAAGGGAACTTACTTTTCCCAGGTAGGCTTCAGCAATCTCCTTCATCTTAGTTAGCACCATGGATGAAATCTCCTCTGGGTAGAATGTTTTGGTTTCACCTTTGTACTCGACTTCCACTTTGGGGCGCCCACTGTCACTAATGACATCGAATGGCCAATGCTTCATGTCAGACTGAACAACTGGATCCTCAAATCTTCTGCCAATCAATCGTTTGGCATCTGTCATCAAACAGAACATCTTGTATGTTTAGCCATTTTTTGTTTAGTTACACATTTATATCATCTGTTATTCACTAACAGGTCTGGCTGTGTCAGGATGAGATCATAGGGATAAATGAATGTTTAATCACTTAGATCACTTTGCACTCTTCTTAACTTACCAAATACTGTGTTGGTGGGATTCATTGCAACCTGATTCTTGGCTGCATCTCCAATCAGCCTCTCTGTGTCAGTGAAGGCCACGTAGCTGGGTGTGGTCCTGTTGCCCTGGTCATTGGCAATGATTTCAACTTTGCCATGCTGGAATACACCAACACAGGAGTAGGTGGTCCCGAGATCAATACCGACTGCTGCTCCTTTAGACATGATTGCTCTGAGAAAATAAAACAATACCTTCAATGTTAAACCAGTAGGGGGCAGTAAAGTTGGATATTTATGGCTGCATACAACATGTAACGAGCAGTAGGTTGCTGCTAGTCTACTAGTATTTTAATGTGAGATAGTTACTGCACCATTCCTTACTTGGAGGTATTAAATATCAGTAAAACTTGATTCGTATGCTGTAAAGTACGATGGCGTTTCTTTTGATTAGACGCAATTATATTATGTAATCACAATTGTACATATTATATTATATGTTACGATCTAAAAAAGAGTAATCAGTGGAAAAACATTTCAAAGGCGACTTGACATATTTGAGTGTAAGTACTTTGTGCTGTGTGTTTACTCGTGTGGTGGGTTTGCGGTAATTTAGTTCAAATAGCAGATCGGTTAATATCTCTTTAAACACAGAAGTGCAATCTGCAACATCATGGTGGAGTTCAAACTGCTGATCCATTGTCTCCACTGGACTGAGACATCCCCTCCAGCCAACACAGAGACACAGATACACCAACATACACTGCACCAAGCTTATGACCAGATATTTATAAACGATTCAACAGTAACTCTGTTACTTTTCTTATATCATCGACTCGTTCTCCATTTTTAGGGTTTCTTTGGCCGAAAACAAAATACGCGTAAAATATATCATTTAAAATGTATAACAGACAGCAAACGAGCGTAGCAGTTGGTACAAAAATCCACAGCCTACCTGTTTAATGTTGTTTTGAAGACCGTTTGCGGTAGGAATGCTTCAATTCGTGCTATTCTGCTGTGGTGAGCTGCGTAACTGTTTATAAACCCAGGACGAGCCAATCAGCTTTCAGACTAGCAGCTTCTAGTACATTCTGGTTCTCTCTTCGCGTTACGTACGTGCCTTTTGTCCTCTGATTGGCCGAGCAGAGACAATATAAAAAAAAGAGAGTTCCAGAATTTTCTTTTACGTTCGTCAGTTAGAGAAAACAAAGTCATGAAAGGGTGACGCATTAAAGTCGGATGAATAGTGTTGGTTATGATCCAGGCCGAGAGCATAAGATATACTTACCCATGACAAAGTTAAATGGTGCTGTTAACTTGCTCACTGTGAAATAAATTGTATTCTTACCTTAGCTAATAATAAATAAATAAAGTACAATACATATTACAGAAATCGTTTGATCTTTCTTAGGGTTTGTGTACATATACACAAGTTATGGTCAAGACATAGCCTAATGATAGGAAACAGGAATAATCAGTTTTTTAATGTCAGTGTAATTATTATAAATTCGTTTTATATACACAAAGTTTTACAACTGTATGTTTCAGACTTTTTAAACTTTGCTTTTGTAAAACATTGTATGTAGACCTGCCCTCAGGAAACCACAGAACACAGTACAAAAACATATCATTTCCTAGTAATGATGCTTACATTATATTTGTACTATTTAGAAAAACACTAAATAATACATCACAGTAAACTAGTGGTCATTACATTTAAATCATACATTAAAAAACAATGTATTAATTATCCAAGATTTTATTTTCTTGTATTAATGTGATGGGGAATGTGAGCTGAACAAAATCTCTTTTCAAAGATAATCTAATATGGTATTTCTTGAACTTTTAACCTTTTATTTTTGCTGTTTGGGTAAACCCTGTGAATTTCAATTAGAACTGTCGTATGGAAACCACGAGCCTGTGATGTCATGGAAGGTCCCTCAGCGGAGTATAAAACAATCAAAAGATGAGGAAACGCAACAGTGTGACCGTTACTAAGTCAGTGAGATGGAAGTGAAGCTGCTGCTCATCGCCTTTTTGCTGCTCGTGCAGGGTGAGTCTTATACTTTCACTATTGTTAACTGGTGTGCGATTGTTATGAAAAACAAAAGTAATGCTGAAATGTAGCATTTGAAAGCATTCAGCGTACTATAGGAATTAGCAGTAATTAAAAACTTTCAGACTGTATAAATTAGTATGATTGGATGGCTGATGCTTCCTACAGAGTTCATTTTACAGATAAATCTCATTATTCAAAATATTACCTTGTTGCTGGATATCAAAAAATGTTTTGAATATGAACTAAAAGTTTCACATGCAAAAATATATCCTACATTTGACATTTTGACATAAATGTACAGTATTTATCTTACACATCAAAGGCAACATCTCCTATATAAGTTATTTGTAATCATGATAGACATGTTACAGCAGTTTGTTTTAGGGTTTTTGCTGTATTACGGTTTTTGTTGTTGGGGTTGCGGGCTCTTAAAAGGTAAAGGTAACGGCAATCTGATTACAAAAGCAGGAATAAACTAAATTGCAAAAAACACATTTTCTGATCACATGCTAAATGAGGTGTTACATTTATGTTTATGTTGCATACATACTATTTAGATAACTTTAAACAGCTATATGCATATCACTAGCGTTTTGTTTAATGTGAAACAATGTTGCTGGAGTTAATACTAGGCACAGACTATATCATTTTCAATCTTTGTTCCGTTGTTCAGTTTTGGACTGACAGACCTCTTTGACCTTTGACACTTTGAGCCCACTGACCACACTTTTTGGTCTCCAGCTTCTCCCACACATGTACTTTCCAACCTTGTCATAGGAGACACCATTTTAAGCCCCCTCTTGTGAACAGCCCACAGCAGAATAAACTGACATACACTTTGATGACACTGACCACAATCTTTCCTGTCACATGGGTGTTGCATTCATTGTGGAACATAACTGGGGGTCTTGTTTTTTACCATTCCGACTACCTCCACTTAACAATCACTTTCAAACCCACAGAATGGAATAGATGTGTTAAATTGGGTTTGAGCTTCAATACAAATGCGTGGGACACTTTCACTGCTGAATTTTAACCACTGACAAACATACAAGGACAGAGTTTTATTTTCTATTCTACTATTAGTTGCATCGCATGTGTTATGAACCCAAAGATTCAACAAAGAAAATGTTATTGTCAGGTGTACAGATCTAAATATTTTTTATTTAATACAGTTTTTATTACCATGTCATGAAGCTTTAATTACTCTTTAGCAGAGATCACAATGATGATTTTTTTTAAATGTATGTCATTCAGATTCACTTGCTGTTTGGCGGAATGTGACTGTGATAAAAGGCCAAACACTCCATCTGCACTGCCCTATAAAAAACGCGCACAAGACCACAGTGGAGTGGAGAAACCCCCAAAACAACATTATGTTCTTCAATAAAAATAGAGGTAAACATTTCTTACATTTAATTCACAATAAAAAAAGCTCTAGCCCTATTTACAATTTTAATGTTTTATTTTCTTTGTCTTTTTTCTCCAGTTTTGAGAAACAAAAAATACAGGATTGATAGACTGTCCATGTCTGAATTTACCGTCAGTGTGTCCAATGTCACCATCAGTGATGGAGGCATCTACACGTGTTCTCACTATGGCCACCAAACAATTGAGAAGCAAGTGAAGGTGACTGTGTTGAGTAAGTACATGTACATTGTTGCAGTTACAGATTATAATATTTTGAATCTTGAAGGATAGGATTTTGATTAATTTTAGGAAGAGTATTGAAGCAATAACCATCTTTGCAACATCTATTTACTATAGCATTGTTCATTAGATGAGTATTTCGTAATACCATAATAACATCATCTTTGGTTTCTCTTTTAAAGGTCTTCCTGTAATATCATTTACACAGCATGATGGGAGAATGGCCATAAAATGTGTGGCTGAGGGAAACTACCATGCTCCAGAGATTTCCTGGAAATTGGACAAAGGGCCTGAAATCTTCCGTAAGTTGTTAAAAAATAATACAGGTTGTTTCACATTTTCAGACTTGATCTATTTAAAAAATTGAAGGAACAAAATAATGGGATTTCTAGGAAATGTTCTCAATTTGATTAATCAAACAGGGGGTGTTGGACTTTAAGAAATAATAACTGAAATGATAACCGAATGGGCACTTATACATTAAACAGTTTGAATGTATAAAACGAGAAACACTGTGAATTTAATTTCAATTTCTGGATAAAGAATAAAGCAAGGGGGAACAACAAGGGAATCTAAGTGTCTCCTGATGGTGCAACTAAAAATATGTTTTAATCACATCCGTTTTTTTCACCTACAGCTCAAGCTCAAGTCCATACAGAAGACAATAAATATGTATCTGTGGATGTGTTACAAATTCACTCAGTGGACACAACAGTGACTGTAAAATGCCTTGTTCGCCATCCAGCTTTACATTTACCAGCCCTGATGAACTTTATAAAAGTTGAAAGAAATGGTGAGTACTAGGAAAAACATCCTATTTTATTAAAAGTAAAGTAAAGTTTATACTATAGTACATGGTCAAGATGAGGTTAAATTGAGGAACTGTGAAAGCTGAGTTGTGGTGTCACATATTAAGGAAAGTACCGAAGAGGAGTTTTTTTGTCTTTTGAGTTTCTCTACAATTCTGTTCATGTGACTATGGAAGTTAAATGACCAAATACATCACAACCTCGTGCTATTTCCCTTTTCTCTGTGTTGTAAACATTACTTTCCCATAACTTGATGACTTTAAAATAGATCAGTGTCTGTTTTGCTTACATTAATGTTGGGTTTGAACTGAGTGACTATCTATAACATAAACCAATCTTTTTTTTTAACAGGAGCTAAGTTCCATGCCACAACTACAATTAGCCTGCCCAAAACTGAGCTTTTGGAATCAACAGAAGCTTTGACAAAGATGCCCACCAGGTCTGGGCATGGCAAAACAACAACAGTTTCCCTCACAACCAGTGATGTGAATAAGTCTCCATCAGTGAGCCATAATAAGACATCAGCTGTTTCCTCCAATCACACTTTTTCCTCCAGTGAGCCACAAACGATCACAGTGCCCACAGTGTTTCCAGACAACACTATCACAGCCACAGATTCACATTTCAGTCCCACTGGTGAGTCAAACTGCTTTTACTCATTTTTACTGTGGGCTTTATCTCACCAAGTGTTTCACATCAGACAACCCTTCATAGAATTCATATAGAAAACTATTGTATCTAATGTAGAATGTTACTAAATTAATATGAAATAATTTACCATGCAACTGCAGCTTTTGCAATATAGAGTATTACCTTTAGAAACTTTTATATTGAGTACTTTTTACATCAAACTTATTGTATGTTAAATGGAAATTTTAAAAATTACTGTAGGTTTCAGTGTGGGGTTCAGCTGGTTTCTGAACCCACACTACACATTTGTTTCCTGTGACTAAACTTTCACACTATAGCACACAAAATCACTGTGGAAAGAGAATTCACACAAGTGATGCAAAGGAGTTGGTTATAACAGTTGACACAGACTTGTATGGTTTCATATATATTTGAATGGTGGAAAACACAAAGGTTTCTTAGAACATTTTTTATCCTACGATACAAAAATGTATGAGTGGGTCACTGATAATTATTATTTTCATCAGATGGAAGGAATGTTTGTTAGATTTTTTACTACTTGTTTGTCTATAAATTGAAAACATAGACAAATGTTAACCAACATTAACCACAAATAATAAATACTGAAGTATTCATATGTATATGTACAACAAGAGATGGAGTTATTCAAAAAGTTGTCTTTTCCTTTAGAAATAGATGATGTTTTTTAAAATATAACATTTTTTTATATAACAAAACCTATAACAACAACATTCTGTAGCATAAACTATTACGAGCAATACCAGCCAAATAATCCAATACTGTACTGTAAATATAATAATGTACTGTTTCGTTCAATTATTTTCATTGGTATTTTGTAAGAACAATGAGGTGCATTTAAATAAAAAAACATTGCTTACTTATTTTGTGATGCAGCACATTTTCAGTTGACAGTTTTTTAACTCTATATTTTTCCTAATCATTTTCTATAAAGGTTGGACATCTATAGATCAGACGACAGAGAATTCAGTCTTTAACAACACAGAGAGAAATAATACAGGTAAAACTGATAATGATGTTCTCATTTAGTAAAATACAACGAATTGTGTGATTATTTTCTAGTAGAATAAAGGTTTTGTTGACCCATGAACAATGTTTAAACTACTTACAGTGAACCAGAATGAACTAGATATGCGAAGAGGACGTAACGGAAGTTCATCGTTGTTGGTTTTCCTGGTGACATGCCTGATTTTCTGCCTTCTGGTGGTGGTCGTGTTTTTTGCAGTCAAGTTGAGAAGAGCACACATAATCTGGAGAAAAGGTGAGAGGATCTGATCTGTTACTTAATTCTGATGACAAAGATTGTTAGGGTGAAACTACTATTTAGTCAGGGCTTGATTACATATGAGTATTGAAATGTATCTGTATGTAAATAAACATTTTAACAGTTTTTATTATTACAGAGAATGAAGACTCTGATCCATCAGAGGACAGCAGTAAATCAAAATCAAGCCAGGAGGAGAAAAACAACAAAGAACAGAAAAGAAGGGGTAAGATAACTGCACATCAAGTAAATCCATGGGATTTTTAGTGATTTAAATATTAATATTTAAGTTATTATTTATCAGAAATAGCGTCATAGAACGTGGTAATGGAAACCAATCACATTATGCGTTTTCCCCAAAAGTTATTTCTATCAATTTAATAGCTTTTATAGCTATTTTACAAGGATAATTACTCTTTAAAGTTATTATCAATGCACAGAACATTTAGTGAACATTGTAAGATCTTGGGAATTTTTTTTAATGATTTACTTAATTCAAATTTAAGAGCCACAATGTCTTTTATGACCCCTTGGCCTGCAGGGATAGAAAGATACAGTTAAAGCCCCAGGTAGTTTAGCCCATAGTAATTGTTATTGTGTTCAGCACTGTGATCGTCAAGTGAAATCTTTAGTATTTGAATAGTATTAATTAATTAGTAATAATTTCAGTTATGTAATTTAGCAACACCATCTTGATCATCTCCTTAATTTGATCAACAAAGACAGACACAAGGAAGACGTGTAAGGAAGTTCTTATTTTTCCTAATCCAAGATAAACATATCGAAGTCTAGTTAGGGCAGTTACAGGGAGGTACCATATTTCTGCAATGACTCAGTTTCTATTTGACGCCCTCTGGCCTACTCTTACAGGACACTTAAACACTGCATTCACGCAGTACGTCACTGAGGGACCAACGGTGGCAACAGTGACAAACACAGGTGCCACAACAGGATCAGCCTGTGTCAACATGGAGCAGATGTCTCAACCTCAAACTTCAATAAAGGAGACAGAGCTATGAGATCTTTATGTTGAGAGAAAATAGTCTTAAAAGATTTCACCCAGCTTCACTTAACTCAACTTGTGTCTCTGCTTTTTGTGTGTTATTCAGAGACTGAAAGTGAATGTATTACATTATTGGTTATAATTGGTTATATTATGGTAATAATTCTTAGTAAATGTTTACTAGAAATGTTCATAAACAGGCATTGTGTATATTGTATAAATGTTGTACATAGTTTTTACTTGAGAAAATAAATTTTATTTTTTCTTGAAAATTCCTTTGAGATTATCTTTTTTTGAAGTGATTCTTAAGACGAGCTACGTCATCTCTAATGGGACATAATTTTATGCTTTATTATTTTTTCCTTATTAAAATACAATCCTTTCCTTTTAGTTATACTTAATGACTTTATTTCCCCTCTGCCCAGTCACATGTAAACAACCATTTCTCAGAAATAGAAAGTAGAGGAACTACAACACATGGTGATGTGTTGGACCTTTGATAATGTCACAGTACAAAGGTTAAAATAAACTTGTCATGACAGTGACATATTTATATAAAGTTTCATGTTTAGTATTTTTATAATCTCCAGTGTTCTTTTTATTTAAAGGAATCTAGTAATATTTGTGCCAGCAAGGCCATATCGTTCAAACTGTCTTTATATTAAAAACGTTATCCCTCAGTAGATTAACATATTGTTATAAGGCAGTTATTCCATACTTTTTAATGTATGACGGATACATATACAGTACATATACGAATGGAATTAGTCTGCCGCAGGAATGAACTGTAATTTCTGGTGATTATGAAACACCGCCATCAGTCAGGAAGTGGGTGGGACTGATCTACGTCATCAAGGTCCTATTGGCAAAGTGTTGTTGAAAGGCTGGAGGAATCAGCCTTTGATTGGCTGTTTCAATGGTCATATAAAAGCTTCACCGAAGCATGTAACTTCCTTTTCCTTCTAACACCGGCAAGGGCAAGCAAGGGCCGCTGCACCATACTCCATCCAATACTGTTCAAAGTCATCTGCGGATCACATTGTCGGTAAGATTTGTATAAAAGAAGATATATCTTAATACTTATTTACGTACTGCGTATAATTCGTAACCCTGTAAATATGAATGTTTTAAATTTTTGCATTTGTTAAATAAGTAGAAAAAATCGTGACCAGTAATTTCCCTGTGAGTATTGTTGTACCTGTATACAATATGTTTAATAAATTAAGTATGTAGTGCGATTATATGTATGTTATATATGGCCAGTATGACCACGAGTTTAACCGCTATAGCTAAGCTATCGTTAGCTGCCTTGTGAAGGGGGATGGGGAGAAATGTTCCAGAAGGTTCTGGCAGCGGCACCTGATAGACTTCCGGTTCCGTTTTTAAACACATACTCCTTTGTACGTCATACATTAATCATAGTATATTGTATAAAATGTAACGGAACATATTTTAATCTAGATTAATGCCTTAGAAGCCGTTGACATTTAGGAACTACAATTGCCGTGTTCTGTGCGATTGAACGTGTGGAAACGTGACGCCCTTTGTGTCATACTGCCTTAGCGCCTCGTGTTCCTTTCTTGTAGTCAGCGGTGGACATTTAAAAAAGAAATTAAGATACCTGTTCATAAATAAAATGTTTTTTGTTTAACTACTCGGATGCTATTTAAACATTAGTATGGATACTTTACTATTACAAACAACGAAATCTTTGTTCTCCACTTCCTAGTTAACCGTATTTTAAAGGACCTTTTAGCATAGGTTTTACCACTTTATTTCCTTGTTTAATATCAATTCATGTTAGATGTATATGCTAATTTTAATTATCACTTTTCTTTTTCTAACTAGGAATCATGTCAAAGGGACCAGCAGTTGGTATTGATCTTGGGACCACCTACTCCTGTGTTGGTGTATTCCAGCATGGCAAAGTTGAAATCATTGCCAACGACCAGGGCAACAGGACAACACCCAGTTATGTTGCTTTCACAGACTCAGAAAGGTTGATTGGAGATGCAGCCAAGAATCAGGTTGCTATGAACCCCACCAACACAGTCTTTGGTAAGGTTTGTCTTAAAATGTGCAGTAAACACTTGTGATCCAGGCAGTCTCAGCTGGATGTCTGTTATTATTGTGTGCAAGGGTCTCAGTGTTAAATGCATACAGCTATGGAAGACTTGCACCCACTGTGATGACGTTTTTTCCTGCCATTCGTAGTTTACACCAGAGGTCTCACGACCAAAGATGGCCAAAATCCTTCCTTGGATGTCTGAGTGGGCTATCTAAAAGCACATGTTATACTCTACATGAAAGTCACAGGTTGTTGAACAAAACTGAATTTTTGTTTCAGATGCCAAGAGACTGATTGGCCGCAGATTTGATGATGCAGTTGTGCAGTCAGACATGAAACACTGGCCATTCAATGTCATCAACGACAGCACTCGTCCTAAGGTTCAAGTTGAGTACAAGGGAGAGTCCAAATGCTTCTACCCAGAGGAGATCTCTTCCATGGTGTTGACCAAGATGAAGGAGATTGCTGAAGCATACCTTGGAAAAGTATGTTTTAACCTTTTTTGTAAACACTACACTACAAAACATGCATCTTGTATTGAATTTTAAGTTGTTTTTTTTTTTTCTTGTTCTTTTACAGACTGTCAACAATGCAGTCATCACAGTGCCAGCTTACTTCAATGACTCTCAGCGTCAGGCCACTAAGGATGCTGGAACTATCTCAGGCCTTAATGTCTTGCGTATCATTAATGAACCCACTGCTGCTGCTATTGCCTATGGTTTGGACAAAAAGGTACTTGACAAAGTGTCTTCTTCTTTAACCTTTAATGTTGCTGTGGGATGTATTTAAGTTGGTGTTTGTTTGTAGGTAGGAGCAGAGAGGAACGTCCTCATCTTTGATCTTGGTGGCGGCACCTTCGATGTATCCATCCTGACCATAGAGGATGGTATTTTCGAGGTCAAATCCACAGCAGGAGACACTCATCTTGGTGGGGAAGACTTTGACAACCGCATGGTAAACCATTTCATCACAGAATTCAAACGCAAGTTCAAGAAAGACATCAGTGACAACAAGAGGGCTGTTCGTCGTCTGCGTACTGCCTGTGAGAGGGCCAAGCGCACACTGTCCTCTAGCACTCAGGCCAGCATCGAAATCGACTCCCTGTACGAGGGAGTTGACTTCTACACATCCATCACCAGGGCTCGGTTTGAAGAGCTCAATGCTGATCTCTTCCGTGGCACCTTGGACCCTGTGGAGAAGTCTCTCCGGGATGCAAAGATGGACAAGTCACAGATTCATGACATCGTGTTGGTTGGTGGCTCCACCCGTATCCCCAAAATCCAGAAGCTGCTCCAGGACTTTTTCAATGGAAAGGAGCTCAACAAGAGCATCAATCCAGATGAGGCTGTGGCCTATGGTGCTGGTATGTTTTTATGGTTTACTAGTTGGTGTGTGCATGCATGTCTAAACCTACTGTGCAGATGTGGTTGAGTTCTCATTGGCCTTTTCTCCTCATTAGCTGTCCAGGCAGCCATCTTGGCTGGAGACAAGTCTGAGAATGTGCAGGACCTGCTGCTTCTGGATGTCACCCCTCTGTCCCTGGGTATTGAGACTGCTGGAGGTGTGATGACTGTCCTGATCAAGCGTAACACCACCATTCCCACCAAGCAGACCCAGACCTTTACCACCTACTCAGACAACCAGCCTGGTGTCCTCATTCAGGTAATGTCAGCAAAAGAATGAAGATATGGATATGTTTACTTTCCTTTGGAGATTTTACAGGGAATTGATGTTCCAACTCACTACAAGTACCATTTCCTGTAATTTATTTTTTTTATCCACAGGTGTACGAGGGTGAACGTGCAATGACCAAAGACAACAATTTGTTGGGTAAATTTGAGCTGACGGGCATCCCCCCTGCTCCCCGTGGTGTTCCTCAGATTGAAGTGACATTTGATATTGATGCCAATGGCATTATGAATGTCTCTGCTGCTGACAAGAGCACTGGAAAGGAGAGCAAAATTACCATCACAAATGATAAAGGTATTTTAATGAACATTTTTTTAGATTAAATATAGCTACACTGTTCCAAAAGTCTTAAGCTCCTCCATGTTGCATCAGGTCGTCTTAGCAAGGAAGATATTGAACGCATGGTCAAGGAAGCTGAGAAATACAAAGAGGAGGATGATGTCCAGCGTGACAAGGTGTCCTCTAAGAATGGTCTGGAGTCTTATGCTTTCAATATGAAGTCCACTGTGGAGGATGAGAAGCTTGCTGGCAAGATCAGTGATGATGACAAGCAGAAAATTTTGGACAAGTGCAATGAGGTCATCAGCTGGCTTGACAAGAACCAGGTAAATATCATGCCTTTGTTTGACTTGTTCTATGACACAATTGCAAAAAAAACTAAGTTATTCTTGTTTTGCAGACTGCCGAGAAGGAGGAATATGAGCATCAGCAGAAGGAGCTCGAGAAGGTGTGTAGCCCAATCATCACCAAATTGTACCAGAGTGCTGGAATGTCTGGTAACATGCCTGAGGGTATGCCTGGTGGCTTCTCCGGTGCACCTGGTGGTGCTGCTTCTGGTGGTTCCTCTGGACCAACCATTGAGGAGGTCGACTAAACATTCCATCTTCCTTAGCTACCGTACCTCAAATCTGCGGAAGTTTACCCTCTTACAGCACATGTTAGATGGTAAACAAGCTTAAGAGTGAAATTCACTTGATTTAAAGATAGGGTTCAGGGATCATTTTTGCATTGTTAACGCATTCGGGAACAGTGTGTAGTTGGTATCACTCGGTTCATCACATGTTTGTGAATTGTTTTCTATACAAAGGTGGCTTTAAAAAAAATAAACTTGCAACCCTTATGTCTTGTCTCTGACTAAAATGATTTTTTTTTTTTCATGTATAACAACTTCGTAGATGCCCTAAAGTGACACTTGCACTAAATCCTTGTAATTTTATTGAAATTATACATTATGTGCCAAATCTTTACTCCTATTTCATTGCAGGTCTGCTGGCATATTAATTTATTTAAAAATACGTAGTCTTGTAACTTAAAATTTCCAGAAGGCTGCGGGTCATGCATTTTATTTATACCGTGTTAATACTGCATCTCCCGTTTTGGGCATTCGACCATCTTTGTAGCTCACAAGTTGCACTACTGCCCCCTTCTGGATCTCTTCATCTACAAAGTATGGATTGATAATAGCAATTTGCCAAGGGAGAATGAATTAAATTAAAAATACACACTCGTGACAATAACCGAGGTTTTGGATTTTGAGATTTTATTTTGTGACTCATGGTCGGGTCTTAAACCTAAATACAGTAATTTGACCCTTACTGAGTTTTTACATAGACTAAAGAACATCAAATAACGTAGATACATAGTTTACGACTGGCATTCAATGAACTGAGCAGAGTAAAATTTTTACATGCTTGATCAAATCTAAGTTACGTTTTTTTGTGGTGGACAAAAAGGCAGTTGATTCTTAACTATTCTTGTTAAGGTTGGTTAAAATACAAAACAAATACAAATTTAGAAGCTATTGAAAACATAAGCTTAACTTGCGTAAGTCAGGACTATGGAAGTGAATGTACTTAGTGTTATTTTGTGGTTATAATTGAATTTTCTTAAAATGGCTGCTTTGCTGAGGCTTGTTACTTTAAGACGATGAGAATTATATCGGTCTCTAGGTATAAATGCTAAACATGCAATGTTTGATTGTAATATAAACACCACATGATTGAGGTGGTACCATTATAAAGTGTTTCAATGTAACGTCCTGAGTTCCAGCACTTAGAAGCAACAATGACATATAGACAGGTAGTATTCCACCATCTTATCGCGAGAGTTGTCACGTGACAGAGATATTCTCTCAAAGACATAGACCGGTAGTATTCCACCATCTTCTCGCGAGAGTTGTCACGTGACAGAGACATTTTCCATCAGCGCACAAGTGTATTGCCAGAATCTGTTCCCAAACAAACCAAATCATTTTCTCCTTGAAACTACGTCCGCGTTCAGAAAGCAGCAGTGCACCGATTTGAAAAGTCTTAATCCACTTTTTTAGATGGGAAATAAAGAAACTAAAGAAATTTGGCTGAGTTAAAAAAGAAAACAAGGCTTCCTTGACAGCACTTCATGACGTTCAGTCGTTTTGGACCACCTTTAGTTTATGCAGCTTACCCGGGAAGCTCATAACGACACGTTGAATAGAGTGATAAACTTGTTCGAACCGTTAGAAATATGGTCAATTCTTTGGTTTGACCTTAGGCTGATCATAACGGTCAATACCTCATATCTTCCTGTCCAGCTACCCTAGTTTTTATATGTGCGTCACGTTTCTATGGTTGCAAAGATGCGCACTGTAAACAGAAAAACACAAGGTAAGTCTTTGAACTGAACCCCACTTTTCTTTATTAAGATAAGAGTAATTATCTTTTCTTTTTTCTTTTAAGCATATAAGGGTAAAAAGGTGATGATGTCTTTAAAACGGGTCAAATTACCATCGCTTGTTATAATTAGTTGGAATTATAGACATAATGCAGGGATTATGGACGGAAGAAGAACACGATTTTATATTGTTTGAGATATTTATATCAATAAATAAAATTATACATATGTTTACAGTTATTTAGGGGTAAACGACATTTGTTTAGCTATTTGTATTTTTCTTGAATATATTCAAGCATTATGTGATTTTAGAGATCAGCGTAATCTTAATTGTTTATTTATATAGTTTGATTTATGTACGTACCTTGGAAACATAAATTATCTCAAGTTTTTCTCGACGTATTTGCACTCAAACTGTTTTAGAGAAGTAAATATTGTATGTAGAATGAGTAATGACGTCAAGAAGCTCGACAACACATTGCATTTAAAATGCATTGACATAATTTGCTTTTCACTGTAGCAGAATTCATCAGTTCAACATGTTCTTCTGCATGTTAAGAAACAATTCTGAAGTGCAACATTTAAATTGTTTTGGCCTACCTAACTCTAAAGAAAACTGAACACAAACTGTATTGTATTTTCACAAACACAGATTAAACATAATCACAATCAGGTTTGCAATCATTGCAGACCTATTTTCAGTTGTAAAATCAATTTAAGGAGTTAGTTATGACACTGCTTAATTTTAATTTTGTACCTTTTATCTCAATAAATTTAATGTTTGTATCCTCACAGAGATCAAAGGCAGATAACACAAACATTAAACATTAAACATTTTGATTACTATAGCACTGATGTCTTTGAGGACCCATTTTTCAGAATTGACTCATAACAACCCAGGAAGTTTTGAAGTAATCATAACAAATGGAAAACAACAGTGTGGATGATGACTTGTCATGGACCATGTTGCTTTTATCCATCGTTAATATGGCGTTCCTCTTGCTTTGTTTTTTTTTTTTAGGGTTATAGTTCTAAAAGGAATCTAGTCAAAGGCGTAATGGATTCCGACTGCTGTAAAAGATGGAAGACTAAAATAAATTTGATGTCTGTTTTTTACATCGAAATTATAATTTCATTATATTATCAACACAGGTAATCAGATCTCCATGCATGTTTGATGTAGCCCGACCATGGGGGAAGGCGATGGACAGACGTGTCCAGATTTAGAGACTGAGCGAAAGAATGGAACCAAACAGTGGGAGTCTGTGGAGTCTGACACAGAAAGTCTGGCCCAGGAGAAAGCCTATCAACAGAAGCTACAATCATGTCCTGGACAACATGATCACGATGAACACACACATGCTGAGAACGAATGTACTGGGAGTTTACATCAAGGAAATGGAGAGGATGACTTTGAGGAAGAGAATCTCGTTTACGACAGCCTAGATGAATCATCTGATCCCCGTACACAAAGGTAGTGCCGTCCATCACAGATTGAATATTTAAATAGACAAATGGTTGAGAAAGAAAGGAGGTGTGTAACAACCTTTAAATGTGTCTTGTTTATGCCTAACTGCAATCCAATAACATTGTTCAGCAATATTCATCAGTTTTGGTCAGACTGCTATAATTACATAATTTAAGAAAACCAGGCTGTGAATTGAAACTTTAGAACTTTACATTAGTACTAGAACCAGGATTAATCCAAACATTAGGTCTCAGCTGCAAACATCTGGATATCCCTATGTGGTCAATATTCATTTTTCATCACTTCAGATTTGACAGTACAATTCTTTTGAGTCTCACACCTCTGGCAAGTCAAAAAATGGATGGAAAATTGATTCAAAAACATGAATTCTCAAATACCTATTCACGATAATACAGAAATTTAGGAAAACATTATTACATTCACCAAGCAGTTAAAACATTAGCCATAAGGACAATAAATAAAACTTGAATACAGTAAAATATATCACAAATGTCACTAACAAATACAAATTTCAAACCATATAGAAACAATTTTTTATTAAATAAATCAAAGTTAACTAAATTTAGCGCAACACCAGACATAGATAATTATATTTTAATAAAAAGAGGTTAAACAATTAAATTTAGTTGAGTAAAATTAATTTAAAACTAGCTCGCTAGAGGTCAGCAGAGTCTAGCTAGTGGTTGACCAATAAAGAAATCAATGTCCACAATAGGTAAAAAAAATCTGACCTGATACTTGTGTGGTATCAGAAGATATAGCAAAAAAGTAAAAAGTAGAAGTAAAAGTAAAAATGTAATAAATAAGTTAAATAAGTAGACATATATAGTAGCTGTAGGATAGCTGTTCAAAAATATCAGTGGTTAACTAACGGTTAACAAATAGAATTATATATTATAATTCTTACAGTTATGTTATTAAAAAAAGTCAGCTTTGTAAGAAACTTGACAAAGAAGTCAAAGTATATTCTAAGTTAAGCCCAGACATACACGAGTTGGCCATAAGATATTATCAACAAAATAGAAATGTTCTAAAAGTACCCTTAACGAACTTTACACAAGATATTTCTCCCACCTACACAACTCATATGAACTTGTTTTATTTGACATTTGATAGAACATAAGAATAGCCTTTCAACAATTGTCTTCATTTGTTTTTTTACAACAGTCCACTAGATGGCAGTAAATGACGTTAGTGCTTTAAATGCCATACACAGCTTATACCTGTTTTTCCATTGGTTAACGTCATATTAAATGTAATTATATGTCATTTTGTAATTAAAACCACGTTTAACTGTGTTGGCTGTCGGTATTAAACACAGCTGTGTTTTGCCCATCTGGCAGTAATAATCTAATACAAGGTAAGGTGTTCACCCTGATGTCACTGTGTGTAGCAAACTTATTTAAATTAAGCAGATAATAGGCGTGTTTAAATGGAGTACAACGATCAGGAAACTACAGCAAATAAAACCTTTCACTTTCAAACAGCTCATGGATTACAAAAGATAAAAAGCCTTATTCATCCTTAAACAATACAACTGTGTCGGATGTATAATCAGATGCAGACACTGGAGCGTGGACCACAGAGAGAATGGCCTAATTCAGTGGTTTTCAGAGTGATGGCTTTCATTTGAGGAAAATTAGATTTTTGTTTTGTTTGGATGGGATCATAATAAGTGGTCACTCGTGGTCTATTAACAGAGATTATTGTGACGGTGAAGTAGATTTCCTTTTTTTACTCCTCTGAGGGAGTGGAGCAGTGGGAGGCTTGTGTGGTGAGGACAACAACTCATCTGTTTCTGCAATGTCATCGATGCGTAGTGCCGTCTCCTCTCCTTCCATCAGACCCTCCCTGATAGTCATCTCCCTGAAAAACAGAATAAGGGCATTCTCCATGTTCACATCATTAACCTGTAGAGATTGATGTCCACCAAGTGTGGGTGTGCTTCTCCCAACCACATTGTTTCAGAGGAAAATGAACATGACATTTCCTCACAAAAGACTCTATTTAATAGCACTGAGGTAGTGGACACAATCCCATCCCCATTATCATGTTCTCATAGTCCTCTTTACTCCCTCCTCAAAGCAGGTAAGCATTTTCACACAATGTACTGCATAGTTTACAAACCCAATGGGCATTCTTCATTGAAGCAGAAGATTCGTATTTAGGTAACTCTATTCTTCTCCACTAGCTATATTTTACACGTTTCATAACACAAAATTGTAAATGTGTGTTTGAGTCTAGTCTGTACGATCATTCTTTCTTATTCGTTGTTCTTGGTTGCATTTCACTGGCTTTTGTATTCAGTTGTGTGTAACGTTGGTAAAAAATAAAAAATAAAAAAAAGCTGGGGTGTGTTTGTTTTTGAACGTCACACCTACAGTATAGATGCGTGTAGTCTATAACACATTCTCCAACTTGTTTGAGTCAGAGACATCCTTTATTTACCCTTTTGGCCCCACTGAAGTGAAGGGCCTACACCTAACCCCCACCCACCTACCCACCCATCCCCGATGCACAACATCACAGCAGGAGAATTAGACTCCCATCGTCCTCCCAGTAAGCACAACAAAGAGGCTCTCTGCTATTTATTTTAATGAGATCTTTTCATCACCATCATAAAGAGCATTTCAGCCTGCAATTTTCAGGCCATTTCATAAGCTGAAAATTGCCGTTTGTGAGCCATTCCCCTGCTAGTAGCCCTCATTAGTGAGCCTGGAGGTGAAAATACGAAAATTATCAGTAAATGCAGGCTCATAATCCCCCTCATCTGTTTCAATTTCAGAAGTCTGTGATGGGGCCTTGTACCTTGTTTGAGGGCATCATTCTAATAATGGAGTAATGCCTCTTGTTCCTTTGACCTCTCACAGCAGGACTAAAAGAGTATTCAGGTGTCTGTAACAATTACTTTGCAAAAGGAAGTCTAAAACTGACCAATATTTAAGTGCTTAGTTTAACTCCTTCAACATGGTTATTTTTTTCCCTCTCTGGTTTTGTAAACATACATTTGTAGTGAGACCTCTGTAGGAAAAGGAAAGTTACATCAATTTTGTGCTGTCTTATAGTAAGGATCCTCACCCACTACATAGAAGGTCCCGCTCTGATGTGGAGCGCTGCATCAAATTGTACGACGAAACAATCCAAAATCAATTGTAAAACAAAATATTACCACTCATAATAATAAGCATCATCATCATCAACTTTTTTGGAATGTATTCCAGGTACATATAAAGCCTATAATACAGTAAAATGCATGTTTAGCACATGGAATTGGGTTAGGACATGAAGGTTTATTTTGTTAAGCCAGATAAGTGAAGGTTTAAATACTACAAAAACATTTCTACAAAGTATAAAAGGAAATTCTCTAGGAAGTAAGATTTTTTTTAAAGTTCTCCTTGGACTTGCAGTGCATTGTTTATGATCAATAACTAGACAAAATCACTGTTATATTTTGCTTAATATCACTTTAACGCTATTTATTTGACCAATTTGATATATAAGACACCCATGAATGTGTTTTCTTTGTTAATATTCCACGTTAATGAAATATCCCCAAACACATGATTAACTTATTTTGAATACATGTCTTGTTGTTAAATTAAACAATTGATATCGATCTTTTTTTTCCTAACAGTGGGCTATTTACTGATGACAACTCTGCTCAGTGTGATGGCTCGAGGAACAACCTAAAGAAAAATGACAACTCTGCTGATAGTTCACAAATATCTTTTGAAGAAGTCTCTAAAGAAAACATCACTGAGGAAGTGGAAATAAAAGGAGGCTATCGTTATATCGTCGTCACCAGTCCAGCTGATGTGGAGACCCCACAGGTGGGAGTTGATAACGCCAACCAGCCATATCACCTCCACCCAGGTGAATATCAAGCTAGCTGTGTGTCTCCCCACAACGACAGCTATGCTTTACAAGACAATTCCGAGGGAAATATTAGTAAATCTTCAGTAACTTCAGAAGAGGCACATGCTGCAGACAATCAGAAAGATCCATCGTACCCAGGAGGAAGAGCTGCCCAGGAAACTGGCCCATCACTAGTGATCATTCCCAAGGGTTCAAACAAGAAGCAGCTGACACAGACTCGACACATAGTGGATCGCAACAAAAAAACCCTGGGGCGCACATTACCCAAGCGTGGCTCTTATGTACGAAAACACGTACTTAAAAAAATTCCAGATGACACCACTGAGGTATGTGGGTTTTTTTTTTAATCATTCTACTCATCAACCTTCACGCGACAAAATGATGTGTCCCTATAGTCATCTGTCAAGACAATGCCTGTAGTCACTCTAAAGAAGGCAGTTCTGTGAAGCAGATTGCAGTAACAAAAACGGACAGCAGGAGCTGCACTAGTATTGATAATAAATATTGGACAGGCCTGCTATTGTTGGACTTTAAGAAGGATTAGGTACAGATTTGACATGGGAGAGTCTTGAGAAAAATATACGCTGTTTTCTGGAACCTCTGTTCACTGGCAACTTGGAATCATAGTTTCTTATTTCTATTATTTTTATTGGGAAGTGATTTCAGTTGTAGGCAATAAATGAGGTATAAAGAGAAGATTATGTGTAGATATCTTTACCATTGTTCAGTTTTATATTTAATTTTAATATTTTAATGTTTAATATTCACTATTTTAATTACTGGTTTTATTGCGCATGCATCAGCATATGGTCTACACTTAAGAAATAATATTTTTTGTATCTACGTACACTTCCCCGTATTTCAACAAAAACATTTTCCATGAAGTGTGCTACCCACCCAGTCTGGAGAATTAATTTGTAAAAGGAGCAGCTCTGTTTTCATCTGCCTTCTCCTGCACCATATGAAAAGAGCCAAGTCTGGCTACGCAGTGCTTATTATGGCTTGATGTGTACAACGGGAACATCAGAGACGCACGGTTACCAAAAGGCTCTTAGACGTCTCTGCACCTGGCACAGTGGCATAATTGGTCAGGATGGCCCGCATTCCCCATTTGTTGGGCCACAAGATTGTTTGTTGGCTATAATACCCCCAACCTTGTTCACCCATCTGAGCCCCGGCCCTCCACAATGTCTCATATCATTACCATTTACATAGTCAAGAGCCGTTAGCTTTGTGCAATGGTAAACAGAGCCGGAGCCTTTATCTCTCCTGAACCCTTGTGTTTTGTCATTTTCCCTCTGAATTTGCTTGTTAGTTTCCCATTGCTCTGGTTCCCCAAAGACGATTCTAACTTAATGAGGAACACAGGGCATAAAAGACAGCACAAATTTGCATGTTTTCTTTTTTCGTTGCAGAATTAATCTGTGAAATGGATGTGCTACGGCAACAGGGTAATGTATCAACAGAGCTTGTCAGGAGTGGGCAGGGATAATTTCTAAACCGCATTTACACAAAATGTCTCACTGTAATGACCCTGACTCTCGGAGGAGAAATGAAATATGGCCTTTTTATATGCACTCTTGTTAGGGATCAACCACAGTACACAATACCTTAGGGATGTGCTGTTGTGAAAATGAAGCTCTGCAGTCTACAGTTCTACAGTGGGGCAAATAAACAGACAATATATGAGGTGCCACATTGAGTAAGTTCACTGGTTTAGGTGACATAGCTGTGTATCTAGGTAACTCACTTAAGAATAGACTTCAAAGAAATAAGCAGTAGGCTCAAACAGTTTAGTCTGCTGCGTCCTAGTTATAAGAATCTGTGGCCTGTGAGTCTTTTCTCTTTTTATTTTCTCTTTACAATAAAAAAAAAAACTGTTGTTTTTACAAACAATTTAAAAGTTTAAATAAAAGAGACTGTGACCATGGGTTTTAACTTGATTCTAGACCAGGGGAATCTGTTTCTGGTATCAGTATCTACATTAGTATGAGGATAAAAACATTTCCTCAAATGCTTCCGTTTCCTTCAACCATTTGTGTCAATTGTGCACCAGTGGCAAGTGACAGCAACACCCCATCTGCAAATGGCATCAGTTGTGTTGATCAGCGGTCACCAACCTTTTTTGTGCCATAGACCGATTAAATATTTGACAATTTTTTCACGGACCGGTCTTGAAGGTGTAGCGGATAATTACATGTAAATAAAATGATATGACCATTATAGAAACTGATATTTAAACGTTAAGCCACTTTATTAGCAGCATCCTCGTAACATTGCACCTGTCTTTTAATGTCTTTAAAAGACATTTGTTTTTTTGTTCATTTTACTAGCTTTGGGGTTCAAATTAGTGGTACTATATTATGTGTTACCGGCCAGAGCAGACTCTTTAAGAAGGTAGCAGATGTAGGTAAGACTTGACCGTGGCAAGCATCTTGACAGGTATAAAGTGTGAGTCATAGACAGATGCAGTGGAGAGTGGAGAAGTAATTTTTCAAAATAAAACATTGTTTACAATCAGATAATAAATAAAACTTTGTCTCTGGCCCGGTCCCAATTGACCCACGGGCTGGTGCCAGTGATTGGGGACCACTGGTGTAGATCACTGTAAACCCAGACAAACCAGTTGGGACTTAACTCTTTAAAAATTAAGTGGCCCATTTGGTCTTTTGGACAGAATAGCCATCAGAGGGCAGCTTGTTACAATTAGACGTGTTATTAAATGTACACACTTTTCTAATGCAGCAAATGTTTGGCCCGACCAAGTGGCAGAGTGGCCACAACAGCGTTTGGCTTCATTGGGGCTGAGGCCTCCTTTGATAAAGACAGGAGTAGCAGATCAATCTTGTGCTATTGCACTCAGCCCTCAGAGTCCCTTCTCCTCTTGTGGGCCCTTACTTCAAAGCCAGGGGAACATAATGTACAATCTTTTAATAGCTTTAGACCAAAGCTCTGGGGAGCTCTTTGCCACTGTATACCCTGCCTCAGTCTAAACACCTAATCAAGATTACCTGGGCTGGCCACAATAGCAGCTAAATGCAATTCAAGATCCACAGAACCTTTGAAGTCATCATTGCGAAAAAGCAGATGTTTCCCGGGTACAGAAGGTAATACAGCGAGCCGCAATTGCCAGACTTTGTTGTGACATCGTCTCACAGAGAAGCAATTATGGGACCAATTTAGTAGAAAAGATATTACACAGCTTACCATGCTCAACATGCAATACAGGATGGATCATTTGCTCCAACTGATTGGAATTTTTATAATGGGTGACAAAAGGCTATGGCAGGGGAGTGTGGGTATGGGTGTGAGGTGCACATGTTTGTGTGCCTCTCAGTGTGTACACATGTAGAGGACATGTAGTAATCATTGACACTTGTTCCTGAACTTCAGATAACTGCTCTGCTCGAGTTCACTATAAAAGCTAAGAAATGTCTTAATGTTTGTCTGCCATTTTTTAATGTGGTGTTCAGAGAAAAATGGTCAAACACCATCTCCATCAATGAGACATTTGTGGCTCAATAGATATATGTATTCATTGTTATATATTGTAACTGAAAAAAATATAAATAATATAAGTAATAACAATTATGATTATGATTATTATTATGTATGATTACTTGGATAAGCTTATTTTGGTTGTCAGAAATTCAGATTATTGTAAGAAAATTAGTAATTTGTCATGTAATACACATTTGGTATGTTTTACATTCACATTTGTGAATGTAAAACTGTATTTGTACAGTTTGTAAATGTGTTGTCCTTGTTTTAAAACCTGTGATATATTACCGTTGCACGACATCATCAAAGTTTGGTTAATAACCAACCTTCGACCAACAATCAGGCTTAAAAAAGTAGCTTAATATAAAACAATAGTGTCACCCTGAGCTGTTAAAACTGGGCATGTAGCATCTCTAGCATTGGGAGGAGGGGTGTTGTGTTTAAAAAATAACCAAGAGAATTATTACATTCACACCTGTATTCACACAAAGCTATGCTTTCATGTATGACTTTCCCTTTGTGCTGTGCAGGAGCAAGAATCTTTGGAGGACACCACACCAAAACAAAACCAAAAAGACAATGCTGAGTCTGAGCAGAAAATGCAGGTATACCTGTTATAGATAAAGCACTTTTTCATTTGCATCTCAACAAACTACCATGATACATGCACTTTATAATATTCAAAGGGAATTGCTGTTGCTATGTCATGCTTGGCATCACCAATTCATTTTTCCTGATCAACCTGGAAAATGTTATCAGAGAGGCAATAGTTTATAGTTAACCACGGTGTTTAATACTTGACTTGACAACAGTTATATGCATGAGACACACACACATTCATGCAAAGAAAAGCACTGGCTCTAAAGCCTGGTAAATTATCATGCATCTCATTTAGGGTGTATGCTAATCAAAAATGCACAGATATAAAGTTAGTGTTCTGTTGGGCTCCAGATTATAATACAGTATTACAGTAATACTTCATAATTTATTTTTAAACCTGTACCAGATATAGTAGAAATAAAAGGTTGTTTGTCTTGGTTTGCATTAACACAGAGTGGTGGAGTCATAGGCAGCAATGTTTTTTTGTTTTTTTTTTAACTGAGCACAGGCCTGCCTTTCTCATGGATTTTGGCTCCATTGGGCACACAGAGCACTGCCAACTCTATGTAAATGCAGACTAAGTATGAATACCTCAACAAATCCACTCTGAATAACATTTACCAACTTCTCCAGGCAGGAATAAACATTGTTTAATAAGTATTGTTTTGTTGAGAAAACATGTTCCCTGTCCACTTCAGGACTTCAGGGTGACCAAGACGCAGGAAGCCAAGCTTAAAGAAGATCATAACCCAGGAGAACAGCAGCAGCCCCCTTTAGCTCAAGTTAAACGTGGCTCTTCATTACCGCGGCCAGCTGCTGCAACTCATCGAAAACCATCAAAGACAACTTCCTCAAAGTCTTTACCCACCACCATCAATGTCAACATCAGTCTGGACACATCATCCCAACTCCTGCCCCTGTTCCAGCAGAAGGACCAGGATGCCATCCTTGGCTTGGCTTCTCTTCATGGTCATACTCAGCTGAGTCCAGCATCTGAGTATCCACAGAGATCGATTCCTGGAAAATTGTCGCACATTTCTCCAGAAGGGATGAATATGCAGCTTTACCAACAAAATAAAGAGAGTCACCATGAACAAACTTTAAGGTTGCCACTTATATTTGCTTCATTAACTGAAATGACTGAATGAATTTTTATTTTGTGGTTTGATGCATATATTAAAACTTAGGTGTAGAAAAACATGACTTTTTTCCGCCTGTATTAATTACTAATACAATTATGAATACATAATTAACTTTATTTGTTTTTCCATTTCAGATTTAATTCATTACCGTGGCCATTATCCCAAGTGAAAGACCTGCAAACTGAGCATTTTCCGCTAAGTCTGCCTGACACTCCCAATACTGGTGCTTCATCACAGAACCGCTCCTACCCTGTTCTTCCACCCATAGGAAAGCTACTGACAGCAGACTCCAAGCTGAGCTTTGGTCAGAGTCTGAACACAGCCAACCTCGGTGATAACAGTGAATGTGAGAGCTACCTGTTTAGGATGGATAAAGAGAAAGAACTGAAAGCTAAGGTAGGTTGGGGTCTCATTGAAGTACAATACAAGATAGGGGTAAAACTTTCATTTTTTATAACCCTCTGAATTTTTTTGAAATATAAAAATAAAGAACTTTTTTGTTTTAACAAAAACAATAGATAGTTAAACCGAAACTTTCAATGAAAATCTTGTAGTCTGGATATATAACAAAAAGAAAAGAGAGGCTCATTATAAGAATTGACCATCAAATAAAAAAAGCACATCTGTTCATATTTCAGGCAGTTTGACCTAACCAAGTGACACATACATTCTTCACTTGAGTGGCATTACACCTTAATCCCCACATACATGAGAGGTTACACAAACAAATGCCCCTTTGAAGTCCCAGATAATCCCCTCAGATGCGATCATGTAGGGACTGCTTAATCCAGCAGGAGTGTTCTAGAGACAGAGAGCATAGAATATGAGTTTAATTGTCTGGCTGTGCCAAGATACACCTAATTGCTGTAGCACTGTAGGACTGCCTTAAATACAATGCTGCTGTCTCTGAGAAGCCATTTAAAGACGTGTTAGAAGCTAAGATGATTCGAAAGATGTCTGTGGGGGTGCAGGGCTGCCATAATAAAGGCAGTTTACAGTAACAATCCAATATCCAGTAATAATGATGTTGTTTGACATGTAAAACTGATGCTGTGTTCACACTTGTATCTAGAATTTCTCCTGAAAATAGAGTGTTGTGACAATTAGGAATACTGAAGCATTGTGGGAGTAATAATATTTTCGAACATTGATTAAGTTGCAATGACAATGCATTTAAAGGTCTTATTATGGCTGTTGGTATTAAGTAAATTAGCGCCCTACCAGACTGAGGACATGCTCAAAAAAGGGTTTCCCTCGACTTTTTGTCTAAATAAATAAAACTATTACATTTAAATATTTGAATACAGTGCATTCAAAAGGAAAACACTTTGCACTGGCGTTAAGCTTGGCAGCACTACATTTTGTTAACATGTAAATCACGCAATGTGAACATTTTTACCAGTTGCATTGGGGTGGATGCAGGAAAGGAATGAATCGCTGGAGCCTTCGCATGGTTCTCCTGTGGTGCCTGCATCCCCAGCACTGTCTGACCTCGTATCGCTCCCACCATGTTAGCCATCATGTCTGACAAGATTACAGGCTCAATTTGTAAAGCACTCTGTCTGCAGCAGCTGGGCATGAAAGCAGATGAGCGTGACTTAGTGGTTTGAGTTGGGGGTTTAAAAGAAAGGTACCCTGTTGTGTCCACCGGCTGCGGTTAAGTCAAACTGCAATCCTCCTTCCGAAAAGGATCCAGTGCAATCTGGAATGATTAACTCCTCTTTTGTCTGCGACAGCTTGAGGTTTTTACACAGCCACATACGCATAGATTCCCTGTCTCATACACACATGCAATCCAGCATTACCACCTGCAAAGTATGACCATTCCAGTATCAGATTTTGTTATTTTCTAACATTAGCTTGCCATGGACATCCCTAAGAACAGAATTACACCATCAAATAAAATGATTTTTGTGATTATATTTTTCTTCCCTTTAGAAAGAAAAATACACCATTGCATACTTCAACAGAAACATGTACTTAGTGTAATGTCCATTCTACTCTGACGGGTATGCTCGTCTGCAACATTCTCATCTGTCTAATTTCTGGCACAGCACTAACACAGATGCACACATTCTAGCCTGATAGGTGGCAGTAATGCATCTAAAATGTGTTTGCTAGCTGCAATGAAGATGCAGTGGACTCTCTGAGTGACGGCTGTTCACAGCAGAGTTTGGCGAACAGTCATAGTCGTGTTGTGCTTTTTAGTACATTTTTGTGTCCAAATTGTAATACAGGGATGCAAAAGTTTTTTCTTCTTCAAATACATCCTGTTGGGCGCTCGTATCAAAAGGTCTGTTCACTTTATTGGTCTTGTAAGTGTAGACCAACCTTGTTCTTCAAACGTCACTATTATTACCAAAATCATGAAACCACCAAAATGATGTTTGCTGCTACGCATGAAAGAAAATGTGGCTTCTCAGTGTCAAGGACACCAGAAATACTGAGTCAAAACAGTACGGTTACTGTGCCCCGTTGGACCAGATTGTTGTCATGGGATTTTTCTTTTCTCTTGTAACGTAATCCTGTAAAGAGTAAATATTGCAGTTATGAAGACACCATGTGATGGTGAGATGCATATGGTCTTTTAGATATCTGTAGTGTAGTAAGCCTCTGATTAACGCTGCCAGATCAACTATTTTAAGATGCTTATGTATTCTTTATTGTTGTTAATAAATACTTTCTTTACATCTACAATACACAAAATGTTTCTTGATATCTTACATGATTTGACCTAATCATTATGTCCAACTGTGTTTATATCTAGGAGGCCCTCAAGCAACAGAAGGCAGATTCAAACTTACGAAGCTTTCATCTTGACCACAATGCCATTGAATACAAAGTAAGTTCTTATTAATAGGATTTATAATATATATTATTATAAATATAATATTAATAGGATAGGATCCTGCTCGTCTCCAGAAATTATATATGTTTTTTGTGCAATATGTGAGGATTACAATCATATGAAACAAATATTTTATACAATAGCTACTCATTACTGTACATGTTGTAGGCCATTGTAGGGACGTTTATGTTTGTAAACAGTAAACACCAATTGCTGCATATCCTCTTTTTCAACCATTAAATTGGCCTCATCAATCAGGCTTTATGACTCAGTATCTATAAAGAAACTAGTTCACACTCCATCTCCTCTGGGCTATGTGTAGAACAGTTGTTTGACAGCACTTTCAGTGGATCCACTGAGCCCATTCTTGTTGTCTGAGTTCATCAAGCCCCCAGCCCCATGGTTCCACAAATAAAACAACATGAACAAAGCAAATGAGACTACCCCTAAGGAGTTAAGTGCTCTTTGTGCTTTGATATACCTTTTGTTAATCTGCACTAGTACAAAGTGAGTCTGTTTGGACAATTTGCACTACAGCTCGAAACCTGTGTATCTCAGGGTCTCAGCCTATTAGTGAATGATATGTCTAAACGTTGATAGGCCCTCTGAATGGCTGCCTGTGTTTGGTTTTGTTTAGCCATGTGGAGAGGTTTTGCTGAGAGTAGACACAAAGAGAAGAGCCTTAAAGGAGAAATGGCTCAGTTAATTAAACCTCCATTTATAATCAGCTTTTGTCCCCTCCCTCACTACCTCTCTCACTCTTTCACCATCGTCAGGCTGAGAAAATGAGACGACAGAGGATGTATTCAAACGTGATCCGCAACATGAACAAACACCTAAGTAGGATTCCCTTTCTACCAGCAAAGGACCCAGAAGGCAATGACAAGAAAGTTCCCAGGATGAAGGTGTGAGGAGATAAAATATTAAATATAATACAAATATTAAAAGAAACAGTGATGTTGCTTATGACTATGGTAGAACATAAGGTCTCATAAAAAACATTATTATTATTATTGTTATTATTATTATTGTTATGATTATTTTGGTAATATAGAATGGTATAGAATTCTGTGAAATAACATACTCGTGTCTTTCCCTCTGTTACCCATAGGCTTTAGAATATGCCAAGACCATAGCCAAGCCCCGTGCACGTTCTCAATCAAAGCAAAGTCAGGAACAACACAGTGAAAGTATCTCCAAGTTTGCTCCTCACCTTCAAGGCCTGGATGTTTCTGAGCTTACCAGAATGGAACTCCTTAGAAAACGGCATGAAGAAGAAAAAAGAGCAGTTGCATGTTTTAAAAAATATACTTTCTAAGGCAAAGTGCAGTTCAATGGACACTTAAGTATCAGTCCTTTAATTTATTGCAATACTGCACGTTTGTCACATCTTGATAAGTCTTTCTCATTCATTCAAACTCGTGGCGTTGGATTTTTTGGGAAGAAAATGCAAAAAAGCTCATTATTATGAATACACACATCTATAAACTGACCAGAGATTTCCTAAGGAAATTTATTATTAGATATTTGGATGTTATCATTTCAGGCAAGATATAAGTTGGAAAAACAATAAAGGCATACTTTTAGTTGCAGGTAAATTAAAAGAATACACAAGGGAGCATATTACTGACTAATCTCTAACTGCTGCTGTAGTCTGTAAAAGAAACTTGGTTCCCTTTAAATATTAACAAATGTTGCAGAGCATGTATAAGAAGAAAAAGTGCTTTATTGTAGGTTTCAACCCACTACTGCGCAAAGTACAAAGACTGTACGAAAAAGTAATAAAATAAATAAAAAAAAAAAGAAGACAGATCCTCTACTTTGTTAGCTTTTCTAGAGGGACAAATATCAGGTTCACGTCACTAATAACCATAAATCATCCAATGCATTAAATATACTCACACTGTAATTACAAATATAGCAAATACCCATGCTCTTAACATTTTTATGAAGTTGTCTTTTTTTAAAGCATGTTGCTGCTTTACCTGTACTAATGTGAGTCGCCTCTGCGCTCTGATTGTTCGCTCTTTTCATTAGTGCTGTTGTCTTATGTCCTTTAGTCATGATGTGAGTAGCAGCTCCTCCCTAACACATAACCCTCTCAAGATGCTCATTTTACTAATTGAACTCTTAGATCATTATCAAAGCACTATTTACCTCTGTGCAATATTTTAATTAGATTATGGTCTCTATTTAACCCATCATGGACTCTTTGAAGCTCAGTGTTTTTAGTGTTAAGTCCTCAGATGTGTGGCTCGGAAACAAATGACAAAGCCCTTTTTAATTTAATGAGAACCATTGCCTACCCGGACTGAGTCCCTTTGCATCCTTTTTTTTTTTTGGTCCCACCTACCTACTTTTTTGCCATTGAAATCCAGTTAATTGAAGGAGTCTTTCACCATCATACATGAAGGAGGCCAAATTAGCATCCCTTTCTGCTCACTGGGAAGCTAAGGCAGACGTAGGCGCTTTGATGTGAGAAGGGCGCTTTCACTAGACGGCAAGCTTCCTGAAAATGAGCTGATGGCCCTGCTATTAGGGCTCAAATGCAGATGCACCCATGTGTTGCAAAACGCTTAATCTTTTAATTGATCACCTTCTGCATGGTCTGTTCTTTTCACTTTCTGCCAGCTGCCTGTTCATCACAATCACAAATTGAAGAGGGGATGAATTTGTTTTTAAAGAAAAGACTGTAGGTTTGGGAGGCAGCTGAAGACATTTGAAGGGAAATCATTGTTGAGTTGTTGTTTTGTGTAATGATTTAAGATTTTCTTTTTCTCCCCTCTGTATTTGTTGGTTTAACTTTAACTTACTATTAATAGTGAAAAATTGTAGAATAACATTGCTTCTTTTCACTTTTCTCACATGTGTCTTGACTAGAAAAAAGAAAAAGATTTTTATTCTAAGGTAACCTGTAAAATGTTGCAATCAAATTTCTAGACAAGTTAACATTTTAAAGTACATAAATCCATTATTGTTAACACACCTAATTTAAAAAATGTGTATCAAGTAATTTGACAAAAGAAAAGAGAGCATCATTTTTTTCATATAGCTATATATATTTTCCTCCAGGAGTGAGACTTTACTCCAAGGCCCTAATGAGCGACTGCACTATCCTCCCTCTGTCGATGCTCCCTCCTGCCGTCGTCACATCGGATAGTCTCCACATACAGGTCTTTCTATATCTCTTAAATCAACCATTTTATATCCCATTTATTATTATGTTTCCACGTGTTCTTTTTCAAGTTTTCATTTGTCCCTAAAATTATTCTTTATCACATTCCCAAATAGTTTTTACTTCTCCATCCCTAACCTGCCTTACCTTAGCTGTCATATGTATATGAATTTTATTATTTATTATTTCAGCACCGACGAAATGCTTTTACGACACAATGGATATTCACGAATATGCATATTGGAACAAATATTTAGTTATTGAACGGCTGTTTATTTTTATATTATCAAATAAATGTGACTACAACAAGATACAATTTCCTCTCTTGCATTTATCACCGCATTAGTTAATTCAAAACCTGTAAACATTAATTCGAATTGTTAACCATATCTTAGAGTTAACGCAGTTAACATTTCTAAGGAAAAAAAGTAAACAAACTTGTTTTTTTTTAAAGTTTTTTATGTACATGTGTTCAAATAAACGGCTCTTAGTGACGACAGTATCCAGTATTATGACATTTAGTACCGCGTTTTAAATCGAAGGGGAAAAAAACGAGTAGGCTGCTGAATAGGTTGCATGGAAATGGAGATTTTATAGAACATATAAGTGCAGTTATATATATTTTACACAACAGTAAAGAGCTGTTGGAGTGGGATTTAGCCCATAATAATAATAATAATAATAATAATAATAATAATAATTTGACATTGCATTAGAGGCATGTGGAAAGACGTTATTGAAGGACATTGTTAATTAAAAAAATCAGTTGCATGGTTGAATAAATATAGACTTCCTCCTCCGCCGTTTAAACAGTATATTTCATGTGACATATTTACAGTGCATTTACAGTGCATCTACCGCTGCCTGCTTGTTAGTGGAAACAAACTGCAGCCTACTATAGTAGATGGTCCGGAGAGCACACGTCGTCCTCGATGTCCACATCGTCCTCGTCCTCTTCCTCGTCGTCGTTCTCCTCCAGCACGTACGAGTCCGGCTCCATGCCGTGTTTGAGCTCCTCCTGTGCGCTCCTGTCCGTCCCGTCCCTCTCGCTGCAGTTGTCCGCCGTGCGCTCCATCTCCCCCGGAGCTTTGCGCTCGTCCTGCGATTTCCGCAGCTGTTTCTTGTGCTTCATGCGGCGGTTCTGGAACCACGTCTTTACCTGGAGAGAGGACGGGTGTATCAGTGAAACTCACGACTGACAGGAAAAATATAATTATCATAGATTAAATAAATATATTGTTTATTAAATTTGGGTTAATTGGGTGGACGGACGGGTCGATAAATGGAAAATGGAAGTATTTAGTATCCTTTATTATTGTAAAAAATATCCTTGAGTCATCGATGTACACAAAGTGAAAATAAGTTAAAAAAATTATGAGAATCTTCCTTTATTTCTCTTACATATTAACTCGAAAATTAAGATTTTATTTTGAATTTCTTTCATTCTCTATACTACATTTATTTTTTTCACTTTAACATGTTTCGCGCGGCTGTAAGGATATTAACAACAACATTATTCAACATTAACACTTTTTTTTCAACTTTCAACCCAATTTCATAAAAACGTTTTTTTCTCAATTTCAATAGACTTTGGAATTTGTATATGGAATTACCAGTGATTTAACAATAAATATTTTGTCAACGATGTATGAAAAAGTATTTTATGCTGTACTACACCAGTGGCCAAAAAACTAGATTAGTTGGGATATTTGCTCTAATAATTCTGCTTCGGCTGGTGTAGGGAGAGCAGAGCAAATACAGAGTAAATAAAAAAAATTTAATAGACGAAGACGAATGTTTTCATGTCAATAGCATTAAACGTAATTACTTAATTCTGCCATTCAATTTTTACAATGAGAATGTGGATAAAAGCAAAATATTTGAAGGACATTATCATTTTAAACATTTAGCACATTTAGCACATTTTCAAAGCTGTAACGACCAGTTGAACAATAAATTTTAATTCAGTCATTATAATTTGTAAGAAATAAAATAATTTGACTGTCCAACAATTTTTGACTGCGCTCTTGTATAGACTATTACGGCACCCGAGGTGGATCAAACATAATTTATCATTTGTATGTGACGTGTTTTAAGCATCTTTTAATTTCATTTACCTGTGTCTCAGACAGGCTGAGGGCCGTGGCCAGCTCCACTCTCTCTGGCGTGGACAGGTACCTCTGGATTTCGAACCTTTTCTCCAGGCCGGACAGCTGAGAGTCGGAGAAGACCGTCCTGGCCTTCCTGCGCCGACAGTGCTTCCCAGGCAACTCTGCATGGTGCTGGAACAAGGCCGGCATCTGCATCCCTGCATATGGAAGAAAGGCAGGTGTTATTAATGATAAAACAATCACTCCACTGTCTTTAACTCTACTTTCGATTATTATTAATATATATCAATTATTCTATTGACATATTTTGTAAACACTATACTTAAAAACCACAAGAATAACAAGACGCAGCAATAAACAAAACATTTGACGCAGAATATATATATATATAATTTAACAAAAAATGTTATACATTTTTTTTTACAAAACTCGCATTTATTTTTAATCTTTAAGAGAGTTTAGACTCTCTGTAAAATACAGTAAGGCATTTGTGTTATTTATTTACTTTTTCTTGTCCACATATAAACATTTGTATCTGAATTGTCCCCTGACTTTGACACTTACCAGAAGTGAAGAAGTATTGATGCTCCGGTTTGTGTAGAGGGTGGTGCGGATGTGGAGCCAGGATGGGGGTCGGCATCAGCGGGTATCCGTACTCCAGGATGGGCATCCTGGAGGTCAGGGAGCTGCAGAAGGGTGAGGGCATGGTCTCTCTGAGGGGCTTAGGTTTGTGCAGTAGGATGTCTTCTATGAAAAAAGACGTGGACCTCTGCGTGGGCGCCGCAGACGCGTAGCTCATGCTCATGATGCTGCTCTGTTTGGTTGCTGTTAGTGTTGCTTCTGCGTTTACACCTGCACTAGCATCGGGATAAGCATCAGCATCAGTCGGTCCTAGGTTTAAATGTAGCCCGTGTGTGTGTGTGCTCGCAGACATAAATCAGTGGGAGGGCAGACGTTCCAACAAGTAGCCGTTTTATTGCCAATTGCAGGGGAAATTGATTTGGGTATCAGCCAATTAGAGCTGTGCATGGGGAATTAGTGGGTTGGTTCTGCGCTGTGATTGGACGGGCTCATTTAGAGGATGAGGGCTGAGGGTAGAGGTAGGGGCTGTTAGCAAAGAGATTTTAGATAAACAGCGCACCTGTGACCACAGCACTGAGCACCCACATATACTGATACTTACCAAAATAAAGCTTTAATCAACATTTATTTATTATTATTTTTCATAAAAGTAGTTAAAATGCAAAAGGTGCAATAACAGCGATAGAACTGGATATAGAACACATATTTTTCAACAATTAGAACATTGGAATGCAAACATAACAGCAGCAAAATGTTTACAATTGTTGTAGTTCATTTGTATTCATCGAGTACAGAATGTAGACATTTACAGAAACATTTACCTAAGGCTTTGCTGTACAATTCAGCTGTGGTACTTCACTTTGTAGCTTTTTTCTCAACTTTTTCCTCAATCTTGCTTTGAAAATGTTTACCAAAGATGACCAATAGGTGACCAGAGATGCAAGTTCAGAAATGCCATGCTTGCATTTTAACCCAAATGAGGCAACGTTAGCTATGCTAAGGATAGGTAAAAATCAACTATTGTAACTGATAATCTCGCAATAAAATACCATTTACACCATGTAAGAGATTTAAGGATGGTGTAAAGTCTTTAAAGTGGTGGTCTAAAAGAATTTATTTGAACCGACACACTGATAGACCTGAGGTATGTAGGTGTTAATAGCACCCTCTGCAGGGGATGGTAAAGAATTAAAAAGATATGTAAACATTAAGCAAATTAAAAAAAAAAGCTTAATGTTTTTTAAAATACTGAGTTCTCAAAGCAGGCGAATCCAATAAAGTAATTAAAATGTGATATATATATGTTTTTCTGTGTGCTCCTATTGCTAATCATTAGAAATTGTTCAAATTAACAGAAACATATCTATAACAAAGAATGCAGTTATAGTTTTACGTTTGTTTTTTCAAAAAACAAACGTGGTTCTTATCCTTACGTATTTTCTACTTACGTTTATGGAATCCAAGTGTTATCCCTCGGTGATAGGGACGTGTTTTTATTTGACCACTGTGTTATAATAAGACATATTTTGGGTGATGGAAATGTGCAAATTAATTAAAGAAAAAAAACATTCAATAACAAACTTTCTGTAGACATGGACGATATTTTGTCCGTGTTTGCGCAGGTGGAGCCTGTGCCACAGGAGGACGGGGCTGCTCCAGGTCGGACTGCTGCGCTAATTTCTCCCAAATTGGCTGTAATTGTTGGTATTAAAATCCGGGAGAGTACAAGTGCCGCTCCTGTGCCCATTTGCGGCAGAAAGCGGTGCGCTGTAATTTGTTGATATGGTGTTGTCATCACATTTCCAATCAGGCCAGTTAATGTGAAAGTGTCTTAATGTAGGCAGAATTCGCGCTGCAATGCTATTAGGCAATTAGACTGAGGGAGACGTTCGGAGCGGAAGTTGTAATCCTCAGGATGGAGGACAGGATTTCCACGTGACCAGACCCAGCGAGGACAAATTCATTACTGGACCCAGTTACTGTGGAAGCAGCTCTGTCCCTGTGCATTTGTTTCCAGCTCATGGTTCTGCATTCAACATGAAACCATGAACATGAACAGAAAATGCAGAAGAGCACATCTGTGATGTGATGAAGACTGTGCCAATATGAGTCACACACAAAAGAGAAAAACATTTCCAGCAGATTAAACCACATTAGAACTTAACTCTGTCTTCATTTATTATTATTATTATTATAATAAAAGATGAATTCACCAGCAGCTGGAGGCGCACCTTTCTAACCTGCAGCACACGGCCGTGCGTCAACTCCTTTGACATAGCGCACCAGGATAACAGGTTGCTTTTAGAGGAAAATTAGAAAGTAAGTGAAACAAATGGCGGTGAAATCGCCTTAAGGAGCCGTTTTTGGGCCACAGCCATAAGCTGCTTTTTGTGGCCATTTCATTAAGTGAAAATTTCAGCCTCTCTGGTGGTGCGTCACTCGATTAAGTGGTGCGTTTGGATAAGAGGGTAGAAGCAGCACATGGGCTTTAAGCCAGCACCCTGCGACAGTCCTGGGCCACCACCTGCGTTTGGATGAAAAATGGGCTTAAAAAAATGTGGACAACCTAGTAAAAAAGGCTTGTGTGTCGACAATGACATCAGTATTGTTATAAAAACACTATTCTACCTAAAATATCTTTTTATCTTTTTTTATATCTTTTTTTATTTCTTAACATTGACGTTAGGAATTGTGGGTTTATATTTTTCTTTTCTTTTTTGTTTGTACAAGGCACATATTAATTGTATAGCGTGGTATGCTATTATGAAATGTAACCATATGTGAGTTTAAAGGGAATTCAGCAGTGACTTTTGTGTATAATGCTGTATAAACACTGCTGCATTAAACGGATTGGCTGAATATTTGTATATATTTGTTTTGAATACTAAAAAAATCAACATAAATACATATACCTAAATCTTGCTTCTCTCTGTATATATGTATATATAATTAAATAATTTGTAGTTTTATTTGTTTTTTCTATTTAACTTTATGGGAATGTTAAGGAACACTTTGCATAAAGATAACTGAAATCTGTTCCAAATAAAAACTATATATATAAAAAAAAATCCCACATAAGATAATCATGGACAAACCGATGAAAGCAAACACCATGGACAAGAACCAAAACAGTCATGTTGGACTCAGTATTTTTATTTATTTAATATCAATTAGCCTTGTTCTGAAGGGGACATGTTTGATTCGTCTACACACAAATCTTTAACGCAGTCCTCACGGTCGTGATCCATCGTTTTCATCGTCATGATCCACTACTTGCAGATGAAGGTGTTCTAGTTAGAGTTGACGCTTCTGGGGCATTCGTGCATCCGATAGGCGCACATAAAAAAGATACCTGCGTAGAAAGAGACGTCAGGTCTCCAGCATTATGTGGTTGAGTGGTTGAAATTACATTATTTGAACGTATGAAAATATATATAAAAATCCAGAAGGCTTTATATCATATCATATCATATCATATCATATCATATCATATCATATCATATCATATCATATCATATCATATCATTACACGTTTAGTGAGATAAGAATGTAGAAAAGAAAGTGATGTGCTGTCCCTAAGTTTATTGTGGGTCATTGAATGCGTCTCAAACGTCAGGCGTGCGAGGCACCACGTGTGCAAATATCCGTGCAAGACTTCTAGTACATCCGGAGGAAATATACGATGTTTGCTGAGTTTTTTTTACCCATTAAGTGTTGGTTTGTTACTTTAGTACTAATTATTCTGACCGGGGGATTTGGACGCGTTAATTTGTCCATAGTTACTCAATTCTCTGCGCACACCTGTGGCCAATGACCCGAACCAGGCCCTGCAAATGGAACCGTGGGAAGAAAGACGCTTGCCAGTGAAAAACAATGGATACAAAAGGTAAATATTCCGGTGTGGGTGCAAGTGTGTGTTGTGTTTTGGCTCACTTGGACCCAAAGTAATTGCGCATTTTATATGGGGAATTCTTTTGTCAAATGTTTTTGAAAGATACCATGTATGAGTATTAGTGACTGCAGGAAAATGAATGTGTTGTCAAATCAATATAAACCAGCTTCAAGAGTGGGTTAGATAATCTTTTTCACAGAGTATAATTTCGATGTAGTTTGTCAAAAAGGTTGTTTGCATGCCTGCTTACATTTTGAGGGGTTTGGTTGTCTGTATAATTTTTATGCAGTGTAAAAACAGCTTTTCCACTTGTTGTTTTCTGCCCTGGGTGGCACTGGAGGACAATGTCTGTTATTTACTGTTCTCTGCAGATCCAAAGTAAATACTTGCATTATAAAGTGGTTTTGCTGTTCTGTTTTCTTATTGTGGCAAGCATTGTTTATTAAGTCAGAGTTTAATTTGTGTTTATGCTTGGAATATATGTGGAAAGCTTTTCATTGTGGATTTCAGGAGGATGCCTTTGTGATCCCATGGCCTGTTTGCTTATATTCACAGTGCACCTTTAGCTCATATGCAAATACTTTTTGCACCAATTTTATATTTGATTGCGTTTGTTGTGACTTAAAAGTTGCATTTTTCTAATGCATATGCACAGTACAATTGAACTAGCTTTTAATGTATTTATTTATTTTTAGATGCATTTATTATTGATGCTAGACTAGCTAATTATTGATTTAAAAATAATAAAAACATTTAGAATAAGACATTATTATTTTTCAAGGCAGACTGAAAATGTGATTAGCTGGAGTAATTAGATTCTTGTACATATTTATTTTTAATAACAAGAAAATTAACAAGTCTTATGTTCACCTGAAAAGAAGTTGAGCACCACTGCCACCCAGCCAATGATGTAGGACCAGGAGAACCTCCAGTTTCCATAGCGTTTTCCGTAATAGTTAACGGTCACACCTGTGTACACAGCCATTGCTAGGAAAACTAATATACCTACGGGGAAAAAGGGAAGAACACCAAATTATACTGATAATACAAGATGCACAAAAAGAGTATTTTCATCAGTTAATTGTTGGTGAAGGTTTCTTGAAATTGAATGCTCTAAACAGAGACTGTAGAAAAGAAGCAGAGTTGGCCTTACATGAGACGAAAAACAGTATGCCTGCAGCGAAGGTTTTGTCGAACTTGTCAAATGAGGAGTAGTGGATGAAGGCCATGATGCCGATGATGATACCAATGAAACAGGCCATTAGAGACAGGATCATGAGGGCACGTGTGGCGTCTAAATGTGCTGTGGGCAAGGTTAAAGGTCAGTAAGTGGTGAGGTCAATGCAGGCCACCAGAGGAGAATGAGCTAAGTTGCAGGCCTGCTAAGGTCACCTTAATAAATCAATGATGGACTAAAAAAAGCAGACATCCTGAATTGTGTTAAATATTAGCTACATCATCGATGTCACGTATAGATCCGTAGCATGATGTTTCTAAAGCTTGTTATTCTGAAGGCAGAGACAGTTTGAAGATGAAGTTGAAACTTAGAGAGGAAACAACATGATGCAATTTTTTTCATCACTACTCAATCATGTGGAACCTTTTCATAGATGGCTTTGGGGACAAACAGAAATGCAATTTTGATTGAATGAAAAGAATAAAAACTAAACAGAAAAGGAAATAAACAACCAAATGACATAAAATAAAGCACTGATTCATTTCATTTAAAAAATAGCAAAACTAATGCTTTACTTAAGTATTAAAGTTATTAAATATACATTTAAATATTTCATGTTAATCACCTTGGTTCTTCTTCTTTTTTTTAACATCGTTAGTGTTGTGATTGTTTTTTTAATTGGGCTGTGTAACATTTTAAATCCCACATTTGGATTCAGGAAACCCCTGGGCTGCTGTTTAGTACACTGATACAAAAATAAGCATTTTTGCGATGATATATTGTATTAACAAATATATATATATATATATATATAAAGTAATAAGTTTATAATCATGCAAATTAATAATTAATTATTTTTTAATACCCTTCTTCTGGAAGTAAACGACTCCCTCTGCCTGATTTTCTTAAATTTCATCTCCAGTTTTTTTGTATTCCAAAATAATATAGAGCAACAGTTTAACCTTAAAGATGCATGATTGTTGTTTGCAAACATTTGACGTTGATGAATGTGTTTTTCCGGGTCTAGGTGTGAATGTACTATAGTAGTACTTGATAGGACCTGGTAGACCTGCAGTGTCTGGCTGCACTTTTGGTACTGCATGTTCTTGTTCACATTTACATTAATCCTACTGTTTTCTTTTTAACACAGTACGTTAGAAATCACTCTTTCACAAGCAGTACTTCGTTATACTGACCGACACTGTCGCTGTAGGGGAAGCATTTCCCTGGTGTACAGTAGCGCCACAGGCCCTGGTGCATGTAGTTGCTGGACTGACGATACTGCATCCAGTAATCAGTTGCTGTGGAAACAATCAGGAGGATGTTCCCGACGCCTGCACAGAACAGCCCTCCACCCATAAAACTGTACATCTTACACCTGCAGACACACAGGGAGGAACATAAGGTCACTTAGAACCAGTGGTCAGTGGAACAGCCCCCTCCTCTTCACATCACACACACACACACACACACACACACACACCCACTTCAGGGAGAGAGGGTGTAAGTGTCAGTAATTGCGTTGTAATGAACATATTATTTCCACTGGATTGGGCTGTGGGGTCATCTGTCTGTGTGTTTGTGCCACTTTGTTCTCTGGAAAAAGGCTTTGCATCCAACCCCCCCCCCGTTCCCCCTGCTCCTCCCACTCATGATACATACACACACAAACACATCAGGTCTAGCCACTATCCAATCCAGTGATGCTTTGATACTTGATACATCTATTGCTCATTGTTCCACCTGGGTGCAATATCCTGCAGCCAACCCTTCTTTCTCATGAAGAGTTGTCATGACTGTTTTTCCTTTTCTTTTCTTTTTTTTCTTTTTTTTTTTGATAAAAGACAATAGAAAGACAGATCTTGTTATGTTTGGAGGGTGGATGGGCTGCTCACTGAAGAGCTCTATACAGTAGTTCCACATTTCCTCCCTGAACATCCTCTACGACAAGTTCCAACATCTGTCTCAATCTAATTCAGCAGATTTTGAAATCAATTGGATCTCTAGTTGAAATAAATGAAAAGTGTCTCCTTATGTTGGACATGTGGAACAATTGATTTGTTTTATTCATCACCAAGGTTTGTGACGTCTCACTTTTCTGGCACTGAAATTGATAGTTTCTCCTCCAGTAAGCAACACATTATTCAGTAAATTATATTTAGATAAATTAATGTTGTGTACTGGTTCCCCAATCAAAGTTATTGAATATAAAAAGTCGTCAGTATGATTTGATACTTAGATTGCTGTTTTACCTCAAGCAAAGCCTTTCTGAAGGTTTTAGAGGAACTTCAGTCTTTTGGGTTCTTGAAATAGTTTAGGTTCTGTTTTTGACTCGTGGGCTACAATATGTCTTAAAATTTGACAGGGGACCAGGTCAGGTGCAGATAGCTGATAACATGTAAAAGTCAGTCAGTAAAGGCTCAAATGCTAAAATGCTTTCACCTTTATCTATGCCACCTATTGGGGAAATGCCGCATTGCAGGGGAAAGGCAGAAATATAATGAAAATTAATAACACAATTTGGAAAAGTTTTAAGATTAAAAAGCCAAAAGGCTGTAGTTTGGTCAGTGTTAAAACTAATAAGTCTGCGATCAGTCCCGTGACCCCCTTGTTAAAACTCTTAACTAAAACTTCACTCTGACCCGAAGCCCTAGGCCATATATACATTTAAAAAAACGAAGTAATTGGGACCTTTTCATTAGGTTTATTACAGACAACATTCAAAATATATTTTTAAACAATTTTGATTAGTTCTCAGTGAACTGTTTAATATTACAGGAATTGTAGTATGCCTGTTAAAAATGCATTTTTGTTCTTTTATTTTAAGATATAAACCAGTATTATTACATCATTGCATATGTTATAAGATAGTGTTAAAATCTAAAGTCTAGAAATTCAATTCTCACAGTGTCTGTTTCTGGTGTCATTAATGTCTAGCAAGGTTGGTAAAAAAAACGAGGAATATTCAGTTATTGTTTGGTTGACATTCACAACATAACACTGTTGTTATAATAGATATAATAGATTCCTGACTGACAATGTTTTGTGAGGCATTATAGACAATAATAATATAATAACCAAATCAAATATGATGCTAACACAGCATTGACTTCTCCACCTGGGGAACATGAGAGAAAAACAATATGAAACTCAGACTCAAACTGAAACACAGCAGTGATGGGACAAAACCCATCCTTTTCTTACCGTAATGAGGAAACGTACGGAGACCGGGCTGTCTGACAAAATACAACAAGATGCTATAATGCCAACAACAAGCGAATTTGCAGTGAGCTATTAGCTGTAGCATTTGACAAGGTGAAGAGGGGAACACTGGGGGTCATGACAAACACAGCGCTCAGACAATGGGCCTCGTCCAGCACAGGCCAATCAGCTTCTGTCGGTTTTGTAGTTTAAAAATCTGCTGAAAACACAGAACGTGTTTGGGCTTTAGAGAATGAACTAACAGTGATGACTGCATGGTTTCAATTGAAAGTTGAAAGCTGAACAGGATTTGGTAGAGAGCAGGGCTCACATATAATGGACTGTGGCCCTTTTAAAGGGAATTCATAAACAAACACAGCTGTGCTTTTATTCTTGTTAATATTTTCCAGTTCTAGTAAGAAGGCAGTTCTAATTATTAGCAATTTTGTTTGAAGAAATTGCCACTTGTTGCTGCTGTTTTTCAATTCAGAATAATCTTAATCAGAATCAAATTTATCGATCACCAGGGGATATTGAAAACAATAGTAATATAAATTTTAATATTGTTGAATACACAAGTACTGTTGGGAGTTTTTGGTAAAAAAAAAAGTATTACAACATTTCTTTCATCTTTTCATGTTGCCTTGTATTTTTCAGCTTCAGTATTATAGATGTTGGTTCAAATCCGGCCTCCATTTATGTTCTGCTTCCTCACTTGTTTTAACATTTTGACTTTCTAAATGACCAAATTTTAAATTGTTATTTGTCACCTTTGCCAAAATATTTGGTCTTAATTGTGGCCAGAGTGCACAAATGCAACATTGACCAAGTAAAGCTGCAACAAATCACATGTAATCATCATGCGTTAGCTGTGGTATTTCAACAATTTTCTAGCTGAAAATTGGGCAGGCAGCTGTTTGAAAAAGCAGCTCACACCAGTATGGCTCCCCAACTGTGCTTCTAACCTGATGTTTCCTTCATTCTGACCATCATCTCTCTGTGTTTGCCCCTGTGTTGAAGCTTTGCTCCCCCACATCCAGCCAGGCCTTTCTCTGCTTCGACACACACAGACACGGACACTGAAGATGAAAGGACAAGAGTAGCTCCATTAACTGCATTACAGTAAGTTGTTCAGACCAATTGACAACAAAATGCCTCAGAAAAAGCATTTTTCTCCCTGAGATTTGAGTGCTGTACTTACATCTAACTTCATTTTTATAGACTACAGCCCATTTTCTTCCATCTGGAGTGTGACAGCCAGGAGGGCATTTGATATGCCTCCCATGCACAATCAAAGTGGACAATATGTCTCTGTGACAGGAGAGCAAATCCATGTTTTCTTGAATCTGTCCAGCTTTTGAAAGATTAATTTTGTTATGGAAAGTCTACATTTGCTTGGTATCATTGATGGGTGAGGGGCTCAAGCAGCACTCTGGGATGGATTAGGCCAACAGTAATTACAAAGAGTGCGCAGGCCGCATGCTTCCATTATTGTGTTAAAAAAGCAAAGCTTAGGCAGGTTGACAGTCATTCTGTTTGTTGTGCACCTGTTGTCTAAGCTGGAGGATCCACACGCAGTCATCTGATGTTTTCATGTTAAAAATACTTGTCCTAATGTTGTCGTATCACTCCATTTTATAGTTGGAGGATTTAGTGTGATTTGATCGCTGTTTAGAAAAGCTAACTCTGTTCAGGTTTTGAAAGGGTTTTTTCTTTTACAACTTTGTTGGCAATGAATGACGTTGTTCATTGAGTTTTTTCTTAATTGCACAATTGCGACCATTCAGTAAAGACAGAGCACAGTTTAATTTCTATACTCTGTGGCTCAGTCCTTTGGCTTTTATCTGTTTCCGTTCTTTTGTCCAGCTCCTTCGTTTTTCTGTGAATTGAATCACTGTTTCTATATCTCTGCACATCCACAGAGTTCAGGTCCACTTCTCATCATATACAAATTATATCAATTGGAAGCTTCGATCCATCGCTGCGTTAATGGAACAAGTGGCTGAGCATTCAATGACCTTTCGTTATTGACCAAATGTCCAAATTACTACACAGCTGTCCAGCAGGAAACGACCCACTGATGTAAGCGAGTAATATCTGTGTACAGAAAGAACAGAGCAGTGTATAGAATAGAAACGTTGACGTTCTCCAGCTGTGCTACTCGCAAGACACAAGGTCAAATAAAGGAAACATAATGGCTTCTAAAAGTTATCGACGTTAGTGGTTAAAACGCTTCTAAATCTTTACGTTCCAGCCACACTCTGCCTAAATGCCTAAATCAACTGCTCAGAATTGAATTTTCAAGCCTTCAAATGTTTAATTTGTGGAAAAGTGCTTTTAGTGTTTGCTCAGCAAATGAACGGCAGCTCTAATCATAAGAGCATGTGGATGGCTGTGCTTCTCCGCTGCCACCCATGAGACGGCGGCGTGGACGGGGAGAAAAACCTTTCCACTTAACCACTTAAATGAATATATCAAGAAACTAATTTGCCATTTTAATTGCGTGATTTAGGAAGACGCCACTTCACTTGCCCCCCTTCCATCTTGGTTGATTTCCAATGTGAGCGCACATTAGATTGATCTATGAAAGACTGCAGAAATCACAACACTTAAGTCTTTTCATTTTCCCTCCCTAATGAAATAATTGAAATTCCTGTCAGTGTCTGCACTTAAGCCGCACACAAACATGGCAGGCATGATGTGTGGCTGAGTGAATTGTGAATAGGCTTGTGCTTGTCTCTCCGGTTCCTCGCCTTCTTGCTTTTTTCTTTTTGTCGTCTGCAGAATCATTCCATCTGCCAAGCCCAGAAATAGAACAGTACATCAATTTTGTTGAGATTTGGCCATCCCATTAAGTGATTGCTAGCAGAAATGGCAGGGGACATTTCTTCTGATACGTTCCCTGAAACAGCGCTGGCAGACATTAAGGACACATTATTGAGTCCCATTTTCTCCCAGCCACAAGGATATCCATTAGAGTGGCATACAGCCCTAAATTTTTCCATTTTCTCCCTCACCAAGCTTGACTTTACACATTATTTCTGCCTCTGTTTTGTAATTTGCAGCCACAAATTATATCAGGGAATAGCCATCTCGTAGCGTGTGGCTCCTCTGCCCAGGGCTATTTGCCAAGTCTTGATTCTGAAGGGTCAAAATGGGCCCATCGTTAGGACTAATCATGACTGACAGCAGGGTGCTTTAAAGTCCATATAAGTTGGCCCACACTGGAAACTTTGTGTGTGTGTGTGTGCGTGTCTATGAGGGGGAGTGAGAGAGAGAGAGAGAGAGAGAGCTGTGGATATTATTTTTTCACAGTGTTGAGTGACATGTTGCCCTTCACACACACAAACTCACAGTGCACTAAAACACATTTACACAGTTTATTTCTTGTTAGATTTCCTGAAGCATAAATCCAGGCAAAGCCAGGCAGGGGAATAAAATGCAATTCTTTAAATAAGTAACAGAGAGAATGCAGTCTGTAAAAAAAAAAAAAAAAAAAAAAAAAAAAACAGAGTACATTCTTAAGAATGTTAAGGAAATACAGTGGCTGTTGCTTTCAAAGAGAGGCTTTCTTTTTTTTGTTGCAAATTTCTAGTGTAAAATGGGAAAAGAAAAAAAATGACCGGACTCTCTTGCAACAGCATTTTTTTATTTTTGAATAAAAAAAGAAAAATATATATTATATACATGTACTATATACAACGTGCACCACATTTACAATTTTTCACTTGGGCCATATCCAGAACAAAGGTGGCGGTGTTGAAACTAAAATTTGGTTGAATTTTAAGAAAACGCTCCATGATTAATAATTGATATCTGTGATCAGTGTAGTCGTCAAATCTCTACAGGAAGTCATTTTTCAGCATTTCTGTTTTTCATTAATCACTAATTCAGAGACACTTCCAGCCTGTTGTGTTATTATAAGCACAATAATGTGTAAAATAATATGCATTCACTACCAAATTCACCAACAAACAGGTCGAGCCTTTTCGCTGTGTTGTGGAGAGCCCAGTCACAGAGGCGTCAGAAGGCAGCTCAAAGGCCACAGGACCCCCCCGCCGAGCTGACATTCTCATCGTGCCTTGCCCATTAATTCTGTTATTGTTGCTGCCCTGGCCTCCTGGAGCCCTATCAAAGACTCAATAACCTCTGCTTAACCAAAGTCCATTGCCAATTCCCCCTTCTCTTTCTGCCCCCTTTCTTTAAAAGCGTCCAGCAGCATGCGGGTGCGCAGAGCAACTGCCTTTCACTCTGATGTTGCTGGGTTGAAAAGACCATTATTACCCTGTAATTGTTGGGAGTCAAACCCAATTAAGCAAATCTGTATGGGGCAGATGCCGCCTGCCTCCCCCAGCACTCGCTTTACTCCTTTTTCCCGCTTGCTGTCGCTTCACTTAGGCCTGCTTGATCTCCAGTGCAGGCCGAACAAGCAGCGGCACTGACCCCCTGGCCAGGAGAGACATGTTGCTAATTGAGTTCTCGCTGGTCATTTGCTCCTTCCAAATGAGCAAGAAGAAAAAGGGAAAACTGCTGCCTGTGTTCCCGAGGCCATGGGAAGAGGAAGAAGTGAAATGACACTCCTGTCGGCAGCAAGTCTATGGAGGAAAAAAAAGAGACAAACGAAAGACATTTAATCCATATGGAAAGCAGTAAGAAAAGGGAGGCTTTGCTGGTTTGGCTGCTCCAGCAGGGATCCTTGCATCGATGAGGGACTACAACTCCAAGAGCAAGTCTGCAATTCAAGCAACAAGCTCCCCCTCTGAGTCCAACACTTCCTGTCTGTGAGCGGACTGGCTCTGTATGCAGGAGAGTAGAATTAATATGATGTTCACGCTTACATGGATACAACTGAAATCACGGTTTGTCCCTCAAACCTTTTTATCTTTCTGATCCTGGAAGCAGATGCTTCTGAAAAGTGGCACTCGATTTTATTATTTAGGAGGAATTAGGTATCTCGTGAGGCCGCAATTGGTCTGAACCGACATTTATATCTGACCAACAAAGCCAGAAAGCCTGTGGATGTGACCGGCTTACACTGACCACTGTGTCAACACTTAGTTTTCACAGGGCCTTAAAAAAAACCCAAAATAATAATGGTTTGATTAGACAAAAAAAAAAGTTGATAATAAAAATGCATGATTAAAATAGCTTTATATATACAATATGTCACTTAACATAACAGTATGACAACTCTGCCCTGTAAAGCAATTAATTATTTTTTATAATAATTTATTAGCAATATTTAATTTTCAATTCTACATTACTTCTTTGTCCTGTCCTCTAAATGTCAAACAACAATACCCCTCATCCTGTAATTTACTTTTACATTTTTTTAAATGTAAAATATTCAATCTACTTTGCTGATACACAATCAAAAGCAACAGTGCTTTCCTGCATTATTCAAAT